TAGATTTGCCAGTTGTCACTTAGACTCAGCATTAACAGACCACAAATTCCAGATAGCTATTTTGCAGTTGAAAGAATGAAATGCAACAAAAATCTAGTGAGCAAAAATAACCTGATGATTTTGCTAATACAGGGTCCCTCCCAATACTGAAATTTGGCTTGAATGAATAATTCTATTGTAGCTAATAGAATAGGTTGTGGGGTGTGGGTGTGGGTGTGGGGTACCCATGGCAGCTTTTTTAGTTTGTAAATGTGCTTGTGGACACAAAAAGGCTTTCCATCCCTGTCTTATGGTATACTGTTAGCAAGCATAGTTAGCTCAAAATGTAAGCTAGCATTCTGAATCTGCAGCTAATCCCTAAACTTTTGTGTAAATCTGATCTAAAATGTCTTGGTGCTGTGACACAAAATGTCTAGACGTTGTAGTTCACTCCTCTTTTCAGTAATTTGTATACAGTGGTGCCCCGCAAGACGAATGCCTCGCAAGACGAAAAACTCGCTAGACGAAAGGGTTTTGCGGTTTTTGAGCTGCTTCGCAAGACGAATTTCCCTATGGGCTTGCGTTTTCGTCTTGCGTTTTTTGCAAGTTTGTTTCCTTTTTCTTAACACCGTTAATACAGTTGTGACTTGACTTCGAGGAGCAACTCATAGAACGCGGTGTGGTAGCCTCTTTTGAGGTTTTTGGCGATTTTTGAAGCTTTTCCAAAACTTTTCCGACACCGTGCTTCGCAAGATGAAAAATTCGCTAGACGAAAAAACTCGCGGAACGAATTAATTTCGTCTTGCGAGGCACCACTGTACTCTCTTTTGCGTGTAGAGGATTTGGCTCTTTCTCACCAACCTGAATGTAAGTAATTTCGTTTCTTTTCCATGCAGGTTAGATGAGTTCTCATTTGAAGGGGGGGAAATCCTGACTGCCAAGGCTTTAGTTATGTGTGTTGGATTTACTTTACCTCCTTCTTAAATCTTGTCATTCTCTGCAGTGAGCTCATTAACTGTGGTCATAAGATGGTATGAGTCATGAACCATCACCTTGTAAAAGATGACACATGTGGCTTGGTTCTAGCTTGCTGTGTAATTTGTGGGCACTGCTTAACCAAGTTTATAATTTCTATAGGTACTTCAGTGGGTCCATAGGAACATCACAGTATCCAATGGCAATTTGGAGGGGTTTCGCATCAGTGCGAAGTGCTTAGCACCTAGTGCCTCCACCCGTCCCTGCGCTGATCCATGTGGGGGCGAGCCATTGAGGTGATGGTGGGTCGCAAGTACCTTCTGTACCCTGAGAGGATTATAGGGGCTGGTTTAACCCCTTCCATCCCCTTTTTTCAGCCTGTGCCTCTCTCTGATGTTGAGAGAGCCATCGCCATCACCATCACCATGACGCAGGACAGGAACCGGAAGCCCAGAGTTCCCTATTCTCAGACTGTATTGTTGTTATAGACTGTTTATTTTCTATAAGCCACTTGGAATGCACATGTATTTGTGGAAAATAGACATAGAAAGCTGCCTTATATTGAGCTGGGATAGCTCAGTTGGCAGAGCATGGGCCTCGGCCCAGTATACCTGAAGGAGCGTCTCCACTCACTTTGTTCAACCTGGACACTGAGGTCCAGCACCAAGGGCCTTCTGGCGGTTCTCTCACTGTGAGAAGCCAAGTTACAGGGAACCAGGCAGAGGGCCTTCTCGGTAGTGGTGCCCGCCCTGAGGAACGCCCTCCAATCAGATGTCAAAGAAATAAACAACTATCTGACATTTAGAAAACATCTGAAGGCAGCCCTGTTTATGGAAGTTTTTAATGACTGATGTTTTAATCTATTTTTAATCTTTTGTTGGAAGCCACCCAGAGTGGCTGGGGAAACCCAGGCAGATGGGCAGGGTATAAATAAATAAATGAACAATAATAATTAGAGCCCCACGTTGGGCAAAAGATTCCTGCTTTAATAGGGGCCTTGACTAGATTACCATTGGTATCCCTTCTAATTCTGCAATTCTATGATTCTATGAATTATTGGCCTATCTAACTTTGTATTGTCTACACCAGGGGTTGTCAACCTGGTCCCTACAGCCCACTAGTGGGCGTTTCAGGATTCTAGGTGGGTGGTAGGGGGTTCTACAGCACAAGCTGAATCCTCCTTCCATCGAGCACTGGTTGGCGGTAAGGAAATTTTACCATCAAGAAAGATGCATCAGTGGGCGGTAGGTATAAAAAGGTTGACTACCTCTGGTCTACACTCATCCATGGTTTCAGACATGAGGCATTTCCCGCCCTGCTTGCAGATTTCAGAGATTGATCCTGGGATCTTCTACATGCTACATGCAAAAGAAATGGTGTACCACTGAGAGATTGCCCTTCCCCAAGTCTCTGGAGTATTGCTAATTGAGTATAACTTCATGGCTCTGGTTTTGCCTCATTATATTGAAATACATAGAGCTTTTATTGTTGCTTTCTTCCCCACATTTGGAAAAGCACAATAAGTGCAAATTAGGTAGTTTGGCATTAAAGAACAAACAGAATGAAATTCTCCATCATCTTTCTACTTCATGCATCTGATAAAGTAGGCATATGTTGGTACCACAATAAATCTGTTATTCTTTAAAGTGCCAAAAGGCTCCTAATAAATACATTTGGAATCAGATTGTCATCTAATATAAACTAACAGAACTTTGGACACTTTAGGTAAATGGTGGATTTGTTTTTAATTTGATCTCTTTTGAGTATTATTGTTTTTTGTTTTCATGTTTCCTTTTCCGGGTACACAAAGAGAAGCTGTTTGCCCCAGCTATGTTATCTTCAGGTCTTCTTTTGTTCTCACCCAGTTTACTCAGTGAATAGGAAATGTACTTGCTTTTTCTCTAAGTAATTTCTTTGTATTCATGGAATATTACCATGCCAGTGGTTTTCGTTTCAAGACGCATAATTAGTCTTTAGAGACAAAGTCAGATAGTTTCTGCCAAAGGATGTATGTTTTTCCTCTATATTCCAATCCAACTCCTTCCCTTTAGTAAACCCTTAGTCACAGCAGCCTTCCAAATATGGTGATGAATGTACAGTGTTGATATTAGAGGTACCTTGGATGCCTTTGTCAAATGATTATGTTTGATAGTTACATTGTACTTTGGCTTGATAGTTCTGGAGCTTTGATGCACCTTCATGCAAAAATCAACTGTCTAATTAACTGCAGACCTCGTTTATTTTGAGCTGTTTTTGTGCTCTGAACAACATACTTAAAATCACAACAATGGATTTCTGCAGTCAGAAGTGTGGTATGTAAACTCAGTATGGAAGGCCAGAGCAGCTGCTAGATTTCTCAATGGCACAGATGATTATGAAGAGAAGAAATTTAGGCCTGAATAACAAAATACATTCATACTATGAGCAGATTATTCCTCCACATTAAAATGAAGACTGGGATCAGATTGCTTAGGTAGTAATAACATACAGAGAAACAATGTATCTTCAGGATATAAAATTATATGTTTATAATCACCACACTGGTCTGAGTAGGGGGAAGGTTTCAGGGGTGCAATTCTTAGCTGGGTTTAGTTTCTGTTGGAAGAAGGACACCAGTCACAGTCATCAAACATTTTTCTTTGCCATTCCAAAATACACCTACAAAATCTCATCAGTTACAATCCCTTGCAAAGTTATATTTTTAATAAATATAAGCATACTGACATTCTACTGCAGAGAGCAGAACAGTGTCCCCAAAGTTCCTGGAAATAAGTGTCCAAAAGCACAGTCGTTTTAAAGCACAGTAGTTTTAATTGTTTCTTTTCATATACACACATAAATTGTATCAAGGTGTATGATGGGTTTTACTACTTGAAATACACAGTACTTGTTTCTGTTTTCTTGTTTAATGGGAACATTTTATTGATACATTCTAGTAAATTCTTCTCTCACTTAATCTTCGTGAGTCTGGGCATGCTTACAATCCATTCTGGAGGTCCGGTTGTAAACCAAAACAGATTGTAACCCAAGGCGCGCTTTCGCCAGTGGGGCCTCCAAAAAAAAAAAAGAAGAAGAAGAAAAAAGGTTGTAATCCCCTAAAAATGGGTTGTAATCCCCAAAAAGGGACACGCACTTCAGGGTTTGATGTGGTGGTAATCCGGTTGCAAACCAATGTACCACTGTAAAGGTAAAGGTAAAGGTAAAGGTAAAGGGACCCCTGACCATTAGGTCCAGTCGTGGCCGACTCTGGGGTTGTGGCGCTCATCTCGCTTTATTGGCCGAGGTACAGCTTCCGGGTCATATGGCCAGCATGACTAAGCCGCTTCTGGTGAACCAGAGCAGCGCATTACCTTCCCGCCGGAGCGGTACCTATTTATCTACTTGCACTTTGACGTGCTTTTGAACTGCTAGGTTGGCAGGAGCAGGGACTGAGCAATGGGAGCTCACCCCGCCGTGGGGATTTGAACCACCGACCTTCTGATCGGCAAGTCCTAGGCTCTGTGGTTTAGCCCACAGTGCCACCCGCGTCCCATAAGGTACCACTGTACTTTCCCTTTATACATCTTAAACTAGGTCAACTTTTTTATCAGTAAGGATAATTTTGCTCTGTCAATAGCTGAGATTAAAACATTGGTGCTTTTATGAAAGGTATTATGATACTGATGCATGCCAAAAGACTTCTTGCTTGGTCTATAATTATCCTATCTCACTAAGCAACAGTGGTGCTTCTCTTGAGCCTCCTATTTTCTCTGTCTAGCTGATCTCGAAAGCTGAAGGTTTCCTTACAAAAATATTAGTTTTCTACTTTAGTGTATTGTGTAAGCCATGTTTTTTTTTTAAAACAAATGGTTTTTAAACAGCATTTGCTTCCCCTTAACATGAAATAGCATCCTTTTATTTATTAAGCAAAGTTCTTCAGGGATACAAAGCGGGTTGATTTTTATCAGTCTTTGCTATGACAACTGCAGTTCATGTGTTTTTACAAAAGCTCAGTTCCTGTTAAATGCAAAGGTAGTGCATAGAGCAAAGCAGAAGTAGAAACGAGATGTCTCTTTGGGAGCGGGTGAAGTGAAAGTTCACAGTGGAGCATGCATTTTATATCTGGAAACAACTGAAGCGCACGTAAGTATTGCTTGCTGGTTTGCTTTCACCATTAAAGGTGCAACTACAGATTGTACTGGAATGCTTTTATTGACCACCCCTTCCTCCACCCCACAGTCTTCTTGATATCTGGGTGCTCACGGTGTACTTAGTAAGTGCTGCAAGTACTTGAAAACACCCTGACCTTCTCCCATATCGACCTGCCCATCTGTGGGGGAGGAGAGACCTGGTGGTGATTCAGCTTGCTAAGACTTTCTTTGTGACAACCCAAATCCCTTCTGTCTTGAGATACGGCTTTCACCTCCTCTTATGATTTTTAGGCAGTAGCTGAGGACATGCCTTTTCGTCCAGGCATTTAGTTGCTTTTCCTTTAGTGTCTGTTGTTATTTATGTGTCATTTCCTGGCTATGAAGAATATTTTAATACATGTGTTGCTTCAGTGATTATGGCGTCTGCCATGATGTTGCTTTGCAGTGAAGGGCAGACAAACACCTATTTGAAGTAAATCAATAATGGCACAATCCTGTACATGCCTACACAGCAGAAAACCTCTTTGACTTCAATGGGACTTACTCCCAGGTGTGTAAAGGATTGCAGTTGAAGACTATCAAGCAGTGGTTGCTCTATGCAACAATTTTTTTGTTAGAAAATTTACTGTGAACAACTCTTGGCAGTTATCATTTTCTGCTTCTGCTAATTCCTTCAGTGGGATATGTAATGTGGACAAGCACTTGCAACAACTATATTTAAATTTACATTTATTATACACATTTTTAAAGCCTTGAAGTTGCAGTCATCGCTAGAGTACTGTAAAATGTAACTATGTGATCTGCCCTAACAACATATGCTGAAAGTTGAATATGTTACTGGGAATAGTGTAGGAGCAGCTATATGATAGCACAATGGTGGGTGATGCATATTTTTGAACCCCATGTTTCCTCACAGAGCTATCGGTCTCAGAGGGTTTTTAACAGTCAGTCCCTCTTTCCAGGGAACTTTAGGAATGGAAGTTCCGTGAATGGAATAGGGGTTTCCTAAGAATGTGCAGAACACACTTAACAAACTACATTTCCCAGGATTTTTTGGAAGAAGCAATGACTGTTTAAAGTGGTTTGATAGTGTTTTCAATGTATAGTGCAGATGGGGCCTCACTGAACTAAGTGGTTAACTTCTATTGCTTTATTAATTGACTGTTTATAGTTACCTTGTTTGAACTGGAATTGCTAAAAAAAAAAAAAGTTTTAATTTAAAAATCTAACCAGTCCTAAAGAGTTTCTTCATTTGGAAACAAAATATTAATCCCTAAGATGATTTGGTTCCCACTGACAGATTCACTCTTGCTTCTTGTTTTCAGGTGTGTGGTCTAAGTGTGAGTGTCCAAGTTAGCTGAATTAAAGAGCAACATCCCCAATAGGGGACATTTTAATAGCTCAGGCCAGGCTACATAGTGTTTGTAAGTGAGGAGTTACTTGCTATTGTGCGACATAGTTACATGTCTTCGATAAGGCCAGTTTGTCTTAACTGTGGCTGTTGGTTCCCGTGGCTAGATAGCATATGATATGAACTAGATAATATTGTTGAATGGGCTGATTAGATGGGATAGTACCTTATCAGCACAGGTGGCACCAAGCATTTAATTTCATTTCTGTCCGCCTCTTTCTCCAGGAAGCTCAAGATAGCATACATAGTTCTCCTGCTCCCCATTTTATCCTTACAACAGCCCTATGAGGCATCTTAGGCTGCGAGGCAGTGAGTGATTGGCCCAAGGTCACCCAGTGAGCTTCATGGCCAAGTGGGGATATGAACCCCGGTCTCCCAGGTCCACTGCACCACGCTGGCTCTCAGAGGGATCTTTACAAGGTAAAAAGAATGACAGCCCTCAGTTTTTACATGGAGGCAGCCATGTTTTCCCTAATACAGCTTCTTCTGAGAGCAACAGAATATCATACCACCTTGTAATGGTATCCACAGGACGAAAGTGGACTCATGATCCAGTCTGAATCATGATTTTCCTAGATTGAATAAGGCTTTGGAATAAGGTTCTGCAAATTCTTCCTCCATCCCTGGTTGCAATATTCAAAATATACATGTATATATTTATGTACATGTTTAATTGTCTTATTTTTGAACTGAGTTTCACTGTTTTTACTAGCATAATAGTAGGGCTATATTGCATATCCCTTTTGAACTCTTAATTCAGGACTGGAATTTAACCTGCCCTATGGAACATCCTCCCACCAGAAGTCAAAGAGAACAACAACTCACAGACTTTTAGAAGACATCTGAAGGCAGCCCTGTTTAGGGAAGCTTTTAATATTTGACGAACTACTGTATTTTAATATTTTGTTGGAAGCCGCCCAGAGTGGCTGGGGGTATAAATAAATTATTATTATTATTATTATTATTATTATGGCGGCACTCAGTCTTGGCATGATGGATGAATTGCTATACAAATATTTATTAACTGATGTTATATTCCCAATACATTTCAGAATAATAGTTCATGAACTCTTAAATATATGTTTTTAAACATTAATTTAACTAAATTGATTGTAAACTTGGATCCAATGACCTTTTGTGCTGAAATAAAATAAAAGAGAACACTTAAGCAAACAAGATTGTATTGGCATTTACTTCAGAGTAGAAATTCTCTTATTGAGATTTGAATAAAAACCTTACCAATCCTTCCAATAAGCTTCATGATTGAAATACCAAAGCCATCAAAATGATTTACTTTTGTGTTTGTCTAAAGTTCTGGTGGTGATCAAAGTGTATCATTGTCTTCACTGACTGATTCTTGTTATTTTAGCTGAATGATTTAAGTGAACTTGTGTCCCCACCCCACCCCCAAACAATTATTTGCCAAAAGGCCATAGGGCAGTTTGCAACATAGAACATGATAAACAATATATGAACATGATAAACAACGTATGCCAATACTTAATATAACAGCTGTACAATACAAAAAAATTAAAACAGTAATGTAAATACAAGTCAAAATAATAAGCAATACATAGTAAAAAATAATAGTAGATAATATATAATACATAATGAAAACATATTAAGTAAGCAGTAATGTAAAATTATTTGCACCAGCACCCCAACAATAAACTCCACAAACCCAGTAAAACAGCATGAATTATTCCATGTTTTTTTCAGGTTCAGGCTAATACACCTTTCTTAACAACAAACTCCTACAACTTAATAGAGGGGGAAATCAACAGCAGTATATGTGAAGTTTAGAAACATTGCAACAGATGCATATACAGTATTTCTCTTTGTACAAAACTAACTCTTAATCCCCTGCAGAAAAGGCAGGTTTTTCCAGCTCTCACATGGGAACTTTCCTCTTCTCTCCTAGTCTCTCTACATGAGAGACCTCTGCTTCCCTTCCCCTCAGGGTCCTTCCAGATTTGTCTGCCACTTTTAGGGTTTGTGCTATACTTGTCCCATAGGCAGCCCAGAAGAGAAGGGGCAATAATTTTGTTATTGCTGTGCTCCTGCTATTTGTCTCATGCATTTTAGCTTGTGAACCTGTGGACAGGATTGGGAATTTTTATTTCTGTACTGCGCCTATATTTCTAGTGCAGTTAATATTAATATAATGTCACCATAAGGTTTTTTTGGGGGGGGGTTAGTGGAAGAGTGTACCGTGTAGCTTGCTTGTATTGCATGATGTTGGGTTTTTCTTTTTTAAAAGCACTGCTTGTTTCTTGTTTTCACTTATGACGTAGGTGGTGGCTTTTGATAAGGAAGTGGCTTTTTAATCATCAACTAGGAGTTCACTGAACCGTGTTCTTTGCATTCTCTGAGAAAGATTGTTAGCTGATGTGGATTGATGAGGTCCATTTAAAACAACTGAGCTGTTAGCTTGCACCATCCCAGAAAATGCCGCTTTTATCAGTTTGTGATATATGGATGCATTGCCAAAGCAAGTATTAGAAATAAATAATGCTTTTAAAAGTAGAAGGATGAAAGAATGATTTTACCTCTATTGAACCACTATTTCACAAACACCCTGTGATGATTCAGTCTTGAGAATAAGCAGTCCAGGGATGGTTGCTCAAACCCTTCCACTCAGCCTGCAGCTCTGCTGAGTGACCACACAGACCCAGTTCCAAGGCCCCTCTCTCCCCCACTCTTTCATCTGGCAGGTGCTGTGTGCTGTGGCTGTACTCATGAAGCCAGGAGTGGACACACAGCTCCTTTGGTCTCCTCTCTTCCTCACCTTCTACCTGCATTTCAACCTGGATATGCAAGTGTGATTCTTTTTAGTCTTTGACTAACAAGTGTGTAACCCTTGAGAATGAGAGAGAGAGACAGAGAGACAGAGGCAGAGAGATAAACGATGCTAAGTAATGACCACTGTAATATCTAAGTCATGAATTCACATGGTGCATTGCAGATACTTTTTTGTGAATGGGAACTTTGCAAGTTGTGGTTTCAGAGTTCACAGGAGGGTGTGTGTGAACATCTATGTTTGTTTGTTTGTGTGACATTACACTGCTTGCATGAACCAGGGTATTAGTTTCATGGATACTTTAGTGGAGATTCCTACATTGCAGGGAATTGGACTAGATCACCCTTGGTGTGCCTTCCAACTCTATGATTCTGGTTTTTTTGTCGTCATTGGTTGACCACTTATCACTAGTATTGACTCTTTGAGATCAGCAGACAGACCACATAGAGCTGTAGTGTTATTTTCAACCTGGTCATTTTAAAGGGGCATATGGGTTTGTTTTCAGTTTTCTTGAAACTGAAGTAAAAATATGGATAACATTACTTTTTGAGTTGCTCATGAACATTAACTATACTGGGTTAAGGAAGAGGGCAGATCCTCAGAACTTCTGAAATGCAACACTGATGGCGCATATATTCATAATGGTGTTTTTCTTTTCCTTCTGGTACTTTGAATGAGCAAACACACCAACTCCGTTGGTTAAATGACCAATCAGCTCCTGATAATACCTAACTGGTAGCTATTACTAATGCCTGTTAGTGTGTTATATAATATTTTGAATTTTTCAGCACATGGACATCAGAGGTCGGTGCTGACATGGCCCCTGTCATCACACAAAATGTTTTTACAATTATATGGGTATCCCCACAGTCATTCAAGGTTAGAATATTTTAATAAGTTTAGAGCAAGGGTGAGGAATCTGTGGCCCTCCATACATTGCCGGACTACAACTCCCATCATCCCTGACAATTGGTCATGCTGACTAGGGCTGATGGGAATTGCAATCCAACATCACGCCTTCCGGGTCACAGTTTCCACAGCCCTGATTTGGATTATTTGTTTATTTCTAAAATGTATACACTACTTGATTGTAGAAGAACCTCAACGCAGATTATGTAATACTCTTCTTGAAAAATTGTTCATGAAAGCTGTTATCTTTCTGTCATCAGCCATCCTTTGCATGATGACAGTAGGGATGGATGGATTTAAACTGATGACTTTGAAGTAGATGTGTCAATCATTAGATCAGTTCATGTGACAAGAGTCTTCTGCTTACTCATTAGCAAAAGGAGGAAGTAAATACAAATTCATTTCTTTATTCCAGGTTGCCCTCATTCTTCTTTTCAAGTCAAATGTCACATTGACTCAAGGACAGTGCTGGAAACATGTAGTGAGTTGCAGCGTGTGGATCCCATTCAGTGCACTCTTCAACCTGGAAGAAAGCCCAAAACCAAATGCCATTTGGCCAAAAAGCATCCTCTGCCAAAACCCCAAGGTTTGTAATTTATTGGTGTTATTTTAAAAAATGTGTTGAACGATGTATGGCCACCCTATCAGGCCTTCTGAGAGGCTATATGAGCTAGAGGGCTTCCATGTATGGATTGCTATAACTAGGTGGGATATTGCTTTTGTTTGTTACTGTGTTGGTATTTTTGTGGTGTTATATTGTGAACCTCCCTGTGATCCTTGGATGAAGGGCAGTAAAATTTTTAATAATAATTATAGTAATAATAGTGAGGGCTGAACTTCACAAGGCAATTCAGAAAATAGCATAAGTGGTGTAAGTTTTGATCTGAAGCACATTGCAGTGGCACAGAGGTTCATTACTTCAACTGGGTTGCTATCAATGGAACAGAAAGGTACTGTTTGGGTTTCACTTGATTTTTATTGCCATCTCTGCAGTGCACCATTGGCCCATTGTTCACCTCGAAGGCATGTTCTGTATGATAGACTAATTTGCTGCCATTCTCTTCCATTAAAAAAATGCAGGGATAGGGACATTTGCACATGGCAGGTGGGCCAGGACAATCATGAAGAATGGCTGCTTCTGAACGAAAAAAGTATAGCATACTAAATTTAATTGAAATAACGTGTTAGCAGTTGAAATCCAGTCTAAGGGTAATAAATATATATTAAAAAAACATGTTCATTCCAAAGAGATTTCTCTGGGATCTGTTGTATGAAAAATGTATGACTGCGTACACAGTATACCTTTATAGCATATTCAAAACACATCTTTCCCCTTCAAAGAATTCTGAGCACTGTAGTTTGTTAAGGGTTTGCTAAGAATTGCAAGGCAGTGAGGGATAAACTGCAGTGCCCAGAATTGTTTGAGGGAAGGAATGTGCTTTGAAGGTATAGCGTGTATGCAGTCTAAATCTCACAATCTGTAAGATGTATTAAATTGTTTTCTATGCCTGTATATATAGAAAAAGATGGGTTGGAGCATTAATAATCAAATTATATCCTTTAACAGGATACAGTCTGGAACCCCTTCCATCCACTCACAACCACACATTTCTTTCACCGTCTCCAGGTCTGGCATGTTCTTTCTTAGAATAGAGGTTGAATTAATGATGTGTCTCTGCTGAAAAAAAATTGGAACTTTACCTCTTGCCTATCATGTGACCACCTTCTGCCCAGGGGTTGCCATTTTTGGCCCTTACCTGGGATCATGCTTATTTGGGACTAATAACCATCTCCCTCTGAACCTGGAAACCAGACCCCTTGATGGATTCTAACCCCAAAATGATGTCTTGTAAGCTGATGTTCTTTAATGAACTCCTCTAAGGCAGAAATCAGTGTTCCAACATAAATTTTAATGGGTCATCTGACAAACTGCAATGCAAAATGTTTCTCCTGGACACTGATATTTATATCCTTACTTTGTTGTCCATTGCAGGTGATATATTCATACCTTAGCACTTACAATGCCAGTAAGTGTTAAAACATAAGTTTTCCAAACATTTTCTTCTTCATTTTAGCCACTTTTGTCCCATTCCACACCCCACACTCTTCACCTGCTTCAAGTTAAGAGGAAGTTGACAACATTTTATGTTTTACTTGGTGTTTTCTACTCGGTTAAACATTTTATTTAAATTCCTGTCTGTTTTGCATATGTTTCTTTGTAAAGTGTCATATATGTTGATGATATTATACAAAAATATACAGTGCATTTTTTTTAATGTTGAACCCAACACGCTTTAGAGAGAGGTTCAACATTTTAAACTTTACCCCTTTCCTCATTAAGCAGTCTGAACCTGAGTGTGTTTTGCCAGCAACTGTTGAAGGATGTGAACAACTGGAATTAATTGCCCCTTTTTTACAGTATCTAGTTTAAAGGCTGGTTAAGTTAAGTTGCTTCTGGGTGTATGGAACAGTGAGATGACATGAACCCTGTTGCTATGGGTTACCGCTTGCATGCTTGAAAAACTACTATTTACTTGTGAACAATATGAGGACCTCGCATGGCTTGCTGCATTTTCCAAAAGACTGCTGCAGTAGGACTAATGCTCTTTCCCACCCCCACCAAAAGAGTAGAAAGCAGTACTTGGTAAGTGCTTTCTTACAGTAGCATGTTTAGTGCAGCAGCAAAAGAGGAAGGAAATTTCTGCAGCTTATACCTTAAAGAGGTGGGGGAAGGAAAAAGAAAGGAATACGGACAATTCTTGATTTGCTTTCTGAATTTCCAGAAGAATAAGCATGACAGAAGATCTTTAAAAATCTCTATTAACTCTTATCAGTTTTGTTCAGTGCTTTAATCCAAAAGAACTCAAAGTTCTGGATCACGACTACCGAAAATGCTCATTTCAAGACTGGTGGTTGTGGTAGAGCTTTTGCAAAATGCAGTGTCTATGTGTGCTATGCATCCTGTTTAGCAACAAGGAAGTGGTTACGTTCTGTCAGTCTTTGAAAGATCTACCAAAATGCAAAAGAGAAGCCCAGTGAGTCTTGGCTTAAAACAAATTGTTCTTATATATAAAAACAGCCTGGTGCTACATTGGTGTTACTATAATAAAGCAGTGGACTTTTCAGCTTTGTAGAGGTGGAGCAATTGGCTTGGTTGCTGAAAGACGGACCATTCCTCTCTCTCACTCTGTTTGTTTTCAGTACCTCCAAAACCTGTTCATCTCCAGCCTGCCGGGCACGAGAAGATTCCTCCAGCACCATCTAGGCCTTTGCCAGCAGATCCCAAGTCAACAAGAAGCCCAGTGCCTGAAGAAGACACAACACAGACCTCACCAGACATTAACAGACTCATTGAAAAATTCGAAAGTATTAGGTAAGTACTTTTGGTTACTTTTGCTATCCTCCTCTCTTCTTTAAACAACTGGAGGGGAAAATACGTTGTAACAATGCAGAATGAAAGTATAACAACTCACAAATGTGAAATACATAAAATGGTGTGTCTATTTTAATACCAACAGCAATTAAGCCAAGTCCATCTAAAACCTAGTGGAGAGTTTTGAAATGTGTCTGATAATTGATGATGGTTTACAAGTAAATCACTCAGTGATGACACATTTTTGACAACAGAGGGTTACAGCAAAAATGATGTTGGGCTGCCAGCCCAGATTCCAAAAGGATAAATACAGAACCATAGACTAAGAGACACGATTCAGTCCTGGCATAGGTGTGCTTGGACAACAAGTGATTTATTTAGGTTGGACGGATTTTCTCTAGACATGATTGATTTTAAAACTGGTTAACTTGTCAGAGAACCGAGAACTGTTTTTTGGTGTTAAAAATGTTGAGTAAGTATGCTATAAATTACTTTTATAATTTCATTCTCTTGGGATGTTGCAGTCTGTTATGAAGATAAATATATCTGGCTAGTCTTTTAGCAAACCGTAAATGATTTATTCATTATTTAGGAGTGACTTTGCTGAAGGCCATGGCTTCCTCAATATGGTTCCCGTAAATTTTTAATAGGACGAATTTGTGGGTTTTATTTCCTTTAAAAACTGAATTTTATTATGGTTTAATATAATATGAATATTTATGGCAGCCACCTGTTATATTTCAAAGATATTTTAAAGAAATTTCTGTGCCCGGTTGTAGTTTTAAATAAATGAAAAGAAGAAGCTGACAGAGACAGCCAAAAGCATTTGAGGGCAGGAAGCAGAAAGTTCAGCTGACATACTTGGTAGTGGTAAGCAATGCTTGACAGTTGGCTGGCTTTTTAACAACAGACCCAGGATTTGCCACTTGAGGCAGGCCACCTCACTCAATCTGAAGTTAGACATAGCCTCTGGTCTGAAAGAGGTTAAACCAAGAGCACTAGCTTCAAAGTGGATTTGTATGTGATGCCAGCGACCCAGGGCCTTTGTCTTTATCTTCATTTGCAGGAGGCCCATCCATGCTGTTCAAAGAAACCAGTTCAACTTAGCTTTTAAAATGGAACCTGAGACAGACTCTTCCAAACAGTGTTGCCCAAGCATCTGTGATGCAGTAGGTTCCACTGCATCTTCTACCAATGAAAATAAAGAGCTTGATGACAACGAACCTGGCATGTTGTGTAGCACTGAACTGTCTAACACAGACATAATGAAAATTAAAGAACTAAACATAGATGACGGCACAAGCGCTGAAGATTGTGCTGATGTGCAGGTCAGCAAAGCCCCCATGGAAGAGCTTGCACCTAAGGACTCATCTGTGGAGCTGAACAGTAATGGTAAAATTCCCAATAGGGACAGTGGGATTGACAGCCCTTCTTGTAGTGTGGCAGGAGAGACTTTCCTGAATGAAGACGGTGCGGAGCAGAAAAAGGTCAATGTGACCGGGAACTCGGCGGAGGTGGAGACGGACAAAAAGGGTGCCAGGTTTTCCGCTGGAGAGCAGAAAAGAGACTCTGCTCAGGATGAAGACAGTGACATAGATGAGGGAAGCAGTGAGGAGCAAGAGACAGCGGAGGTGCCAAAACTGGAATGTGTGGACATTAATAAGGTAAATATTATATTTTGTATTGGTTTGATAACAGGATGCAGTGGGGAAGAATGATCTTCAGAATTTGCTGAGCATGCGAAACTGCATGATTTTGAGTCAGATAGTCCGTGACACTTGCCCCCCAGTAACTGAGTACTGCTTGGCAGTGGCTCTCTAAGGCCTTCAGTCAGACGCCTGTCACTTCTATGCAAAGCGTTGTTTTGTTGCTGAAGAGTGAGCTCCCTTGTCTTTCTTATTTTTTTCTTTTCTTCAGTCCTAGTCTATGGTAGATATGTAGTCAGTCTGAGTTTCAGACCCAGCCTTCTTTCTTTCTGAGGTCTCCAACTTCCCCTTGGGTTGTTATTGTTTTCTGGGAGGTGTTGATGTTGGCCTTTTACTTTTTTATATAATAATTTTTTTTCAATTATTAGTTTTCAATAATTAGTTTTCAATTACAGTCCAATAATAGCCTCATGATAACAATACCAACTTAAAATACACTTATTAATGCCATCGTTCAAATACCAAAATATATACAGTGGTACCTCAGGTTACATACGCTTCAGGTTACAGACTCTGCTAACCCAGAAATAGTGCTTCAGGTTAAGAACTTTGCTTCAGGATGAGAACAGAAATCGTGCTCCGGCGGCGCAGCAGCAGCAGGAGGCCCCATTAGCTAAAGTGGTGCTTCAGGTTAAGTACAGTTTCAGGTTAAGAACGGACCTCTGGAAACAATTAAGTACTTAACCCGAGGTACCACTGTAATTTAGATAAAGTGCCCCCGCCCCGTGTGCTAGATTTGATGGTTTGATTTTTTTTTATTATTTCTGCGTTCCAAAATCTTACTAATTTCAGTTTCCTTCAGGTCAAAAAAATAATCCCTTATACAACAACTGCAATATTAATAACTTCTATTTGTGTTGATCCATTAAATGATTTATAAAACTACAAGTGAAGAACTCAAGCTATATCCTTGTTCTTCCTTTGTGTGGCAGTTATTCTGTCCATGGTGTTTCTTCCTGTCCCTGTAAGATGTTATGTCTTTCCCCCGGTTGTTGCTGTTATTCATCATTCCTTGGGCGGAACTGATATCCCATTGATGTTCCAGAAATTTCTCCATCGCTCCGTCCCGTACTTTGTTGTTTTGCAACTTTGACAGCTGCAAAAGTCACTCTGTCCCAGTAAATACGGTAACCTGTTGTCACCTTTTTTCCTCTCAGCCTGGGAAGAAGAGCAGTCTATAGAACTGCAGATGACTCAGTAAAGTATATTATCAGTTCCTTTGGCAGTTCAGACTCCTTTCATCCTTCCTTCTAACTGAAGATATATGAGCAATTATACTTCCAATTAAATTAAATTCCAAGTCTTCTTAGCGTTATTCAGTTCACTTCATAAATAATAAAGGATGAGGAAGAGTCAACTCATAAGTTTCCATCATAAACCTTTTGAAAAATAGAGCTTTCCTCCCTTTTTCCTTTTTTTTACACACATCTCTGTTTGATGTTATATTCCATATTTATAATCCAATAGAAGGTACAGAAAGAATGGAATTTTTTAAAAAGAATATCTGGAAAACTATTGTAATAATAAACATCTCCTGGCAGAACTAGAATGATTCTTGTAAAATAAGAAACATAATGTTTTTGGTATCTGATAAAAATAGAGAAAGTAATACAGTAATTTGGAACTGTGTGTGAAAGAACAATAGAAATAATAATACAATGAGTCTAATCGGAAGTCAAATGTGTTTATTTTTTCTTTAAATTCTTTTTTAATTAATTTTCTTTCTTTCTTTTTCTTTTCTTTCCCCTTCTTCCTCCTTGTTTTATTTTCTTCTCACTTGGTCTTTTCCTTCTGATTTGCAAAGAAAGAGGTGAAGTTAAATATGAAAAGTTGACTAACTCAAAGTGATGTTTTGTAGTTTGTTAACTATTGTTAAAGATGGTCAACTGTAATGAATTGATGTATTAGTTACTGCTGATTTATTGTTATTGTTGGAAATATATTCCAATTCCTTCCATTCTTGCTTGTACAAATATAATTTGAACTAATTCAGAGGAGGGTTGCCAAATCATAAATTTAAAGAAGAAAACTTTAAAGAAAGAAACCATAGGCTCCCCTCCTCCCCACTGTCTTTTGCACCATGTCTTTTGAACTTATCTCAAGTTTAAAGCTTAAAATCTTGTAGCTGATTTCTTCCACAGTTTGTGATCTCATCTCTTCTAGCATGCACCTGTACTTTAGTCTAATTAATAGGAGAATTAAGCTCCAATTAATAGGAGAACCTCTGCTTCTTAATGGCGGCATTGGAGGGTTTTCAGCAGGTGAAGCGCTTTTGCACTCAGCACCTCCCTGCCCCCCGCATTCCATATCGGAGCGAGACCCGGGTCCGGAGACAAACTCTGTGTGAAGCCTGTTCCCCATCCCTATCCCTGGGAGGAATTTGCAGGGATAATTACCCTCAGTCATCTTTGTTTCTCCTTCACCAACCATCTCTCGCTATCGTGGGGGCTGCCTCCAATAAGGCAGAGCAGAACTGGAAGCCTGTTGTTGGCCTTTTAAATCTGCCTGTTAGACTGAAATGTGACTGCTGTTGTCATTTTGAAATCTGCAGCATATAGGCCAGCAGCTTCATGGTTGATATTCAAAACTTCCAGACATGCAAAGGGCAGAGGAAAGGGCAGACAAAGCAAGCTGATACCACAATTTCTTTTCACTCTCCATTAAGCACCGGTTTATTACTGCTCTTTTTTGGAGAATGGGTATATGTCTCTATTCAGAGGTTCACTTTCCCTTTTAACTCCTGTCTGTGTCACTGATGTGATTAAGAAGTAAAGATTTTCACATAGACAAATTTTTACATTTTTATTTTTAAATTTTTACTTCGGAAATATTATTATAGAAGATACTCCTTATATACTGATTCCTGGAGCTGCTAGCAGTGCCAGAAACCACAACTGGGGGAAGTGCTGTTACACTCATGTCCTGTTTCCCATATGCATCTGATTGGGCACTGTGAGAGCAGGATGCTGGACTGCATAGCCCTTATCCTAATTCTGCAGGGCTTTTCTTCTGATGACCTGTTCCCAGAGTTGAGAAACCATGCTGTAAGAGCTGTTCAACAGTGGAACGGTCTCCCTCGGGAGGTAGTGGACTCTCCTTTCTTGGAGGTTTTTAAGTAGAGGTTGGATGCCCATCTGTCATGTATGCTTTAGTTGTGATTCCTGCAATGCACAGGAGTTGGACTGGATGTCCATTGGGATCTCTTCCAAAGCTACAATTCTATGCAATACTCTTCTCACCATATTGATAAGTCAACGATTGCTCAGCTGCCCCAAAACCTAGAATAATGTTTTCAGTCAACAATAATAAATTTATGTGGCTTCTTTTTGCCCTGAAGTTTATCATGTACATCTGCAACAGGGTCCATAGGGATGACTGTATTAATAGTCTTTAGTTGCAACAATAAAGATACTACAACGCTCTTGATTATTTTCAAGAAGATGTCATTCAAAATCCAGATTGACTCCAAACTAGCATTAAGCCAGTGGCCACCATGGGGATGTCTTGATTTATTTAATTCATTTATATACAGATTTCTATCAATAGATCTTGAAGGATTTGGGTCTACACAGGAGATCTAGGAGGAGATGTCATGAGTTAGAAAATGAGAGGATGAAATGAATCATTAAGTATGGGTACTTGCACAGCTTCTAGTGATGGGGTGATTTAAAAGATGTATATACCATATTTAGGCAGAACTTCTAAAGCAGTTTACAGTTTTGTTAGGAAGCATAGCATTAATAGAATCATAAGTAACATTATGGGGTCACGAAGAGTCGGACACGACTAAACGACTAAACAACAACAACATGAGTTCAAATAGCCATAAAGACATAGTTTGCTACCTTTCCCCCATCAGAGATATAGTAAGTACTGCAATTGACTCACTTGGGCTTAGGCTCTGAAATAGTTTGTTTTTTTATCCATATGTCTGAGACTAATCAGTGTATTAATATGAGTCAAGTCAGAAGAAAGGGCAAGAAACATTGATTTTGGTGTCATTGCAACCATTAATGGTAGAGTAATGGCCAACATTAAGGCAAAACCTGGAAGTATATTCTGAAGAATTCAGTCTCTCAGTGTGTGTGCTTTGCTCTAGAATATAGCATGATGAACGAACACAGTCTCCAATATAATAAAATATGTCATGGCAAAAAAATTAATTTATAGATATGGAGCTAGTAATATCTATATAGTGGGAGTTCAGATTTAATTATGACTATAGCTGATTGATCTTTAAGTACTCATCAATCCTTAGGATCAGTTTTTCCTATTTTATTTAACTATGCATACCTAGATGGCCATACTTATATGAGATGCATCATATAATCAATGCATTTTATTAATAAACATCTTAATTGAATAATATATTTTATTAATATACATATTAATATAATGCATTATTTTAACAAATAATGTTATATGTGGGGCCTTTTGACCTTTCCCACTGAATAAAAATGGGAAATAAATAACTTTACAACTGCAACATAAAGCTTAGAATATTTTTAACCTGAACCTTTAAATTGGCAATATATATGGAAGGTATTTTAAATTAGTTTGACCAAATTTTTTGAATGGCTTTCATTTAGTTGGAAGTTAAATTTCCCCATGTTCAATTATAGCAGCATCTCATATATGCTTGACTCTTCCTCCAACATTGCATGATACTGGGCTATGTTTTGCTTGTATATTATGCAGATGTGATGTGTTATTTTTTAAAAATATCCATGGCATCCCTGTTTAAATGCCTTCTTCTATAGACCTGAAGATGCAAAGTACAGTGAGGCTTTCTCTGAAGCAGGGATTCACAACTCATACAATTTGACTTTTTTCCTTTTTTAATCTGCTAACATTTCTCCTTCTTTGTAACCCATATGGTTCCATCCCTCCCATCCCCGTTCACCTTCTTCCTCAGCATTCTGTAGAGCACGCTCCACAAGGGGGTCTAGAAATAGACAGGGGAGGGAGGACCATAGGCCTTAGGTATGCAGGACTCATTCACTTCCTGCTGTTGTGGGGTAAATGCTAGGAGTACAGTGGTACCTCGGGTTACATACACTTCAGGTTACATACGCTTCAGGTTACGGACTCTGCTAACCCAGAAATATTACCTCAGGTTAAGAACTTTGCTTCAGGATGAGAACAGAAATCGTGCTCCGGCGGCGTGGCAGCAGCAGGAGGTCCCATTAGCTAAAGTGGTGCTTCAGGTTAAGAACAGTTTCAGGTTAAGAACGGACCTCCAGAACGAATTAAGTACTTAACCCGAGGTACCACTGTATTACTGTTTGGAGAACTAGAATTGTAATGTTAAAGGCAGATTTCATTCAAACTAAAAATGGGAAATTATTAATTTTACTTCATTACATTTCCCCTCTTTCCTTTCTTCTTTCACGGAATCCAAAGTAGCCCACCTAGATACTGGCTAGAAGCAGACCTGCTCAGCTCCAACAGGGTGGCAGTTACATTTGCCTTCAGACAATACCCTGGGGCCAAGTACATTCCAACAGCACGTGAATTGCCTGTGTTCTTCTGCAGTGGTATGGCATGCCCTAAAATTAGCTAAATGAGGAAAGTAAACCCTGTGTTAACCTAGTTTCTGTTTCCCTGTTTTGTTAAAAAAAAAAAGTGCACTTGGATTTTGGGCAATTCTGCATGCAGGTATTATCATCACCATCATGTTGTGTATGCTATTAATTCAGTACCCCTGATCCATGTAAGCCTCGGTGAAAGGATTAATATTGATAGGCAAAACATTGCATTGCATTCATTGCACAGCAGTTGCTTTCTGCACTAAAGCTCTGGACAGGAAATGTGGTAAGTTCCTGAGCAAATGTGTCTGATAGCCTGTCTTGCTCTGGGGACTCCAGAATGTTGTTGACATCACTTAACCAGAAATGACACAGTTGAAGTAATTAATATAACTAGCTTTGGGGAATAAAGGAGGACCAGCAATGTCACAAGAAGAGTCTTAAGTGGAGCACTTGAGAGGCTGCTTCCACTCCCACCCCAATTTCAATTTTCTTTACTCTTTTTAAAACCAGGATAAGGATTCTTGATCACATTGACGTGTGCTGTTTTCTGGGCACTTCCTGGTGTGTTGTAGGCATTTGTAATGTAGAGAGGTACATTGTTGCAAGTTTGATGAGCCCTCTTCAAAGGACTGAGCTGCTCTTTATAATTATGAGTAGAAACCTCTTGAAAACACTAATCCAGGTTTTCATTTGCTCTATTGCACCTCTTCATCTCCTAAACTAGTGTCTTTTTGTAGTATGCATAACCATTACTTTTCAATAGCATTTTTCAGTTTTCCTTTTATATTGCACTCTGTTCAAAATAAACCTTTTCTCTGTAGTCATTGCAACAGTAGCTGACTACTGTGATGATAATTGGCAAGAGCTTCATTATATGAAGGCAGGTCATTGATCTGTCTAATCCAGCAGTCTTTAGTCTATTAGACTCAGATCCTCCTTTAATCCAAACATGTGTTTGGAAGCCTGCTCATTAATTTCCCCTCCATATATTTGTATGTGGTAGTGCTGCTGTTGCAACCCGTCCTTTGTGGAGGATAAGGCTCTTAATGGCTACTAGCCATTAATGGCTACTATGTTCTGCTTCCACTATCAGAGGCGGCTTGTCTCTGAATACCAGTTGCTGGTGGTGGTGGGGGGGGGCTGTTGTTCTCAGGTCCTGTTTCTGGGCTTTTCAGAGATATTTGGCAGGCCACTGGGAGTATAGGATGTTGGACTAGGTGAGGAGAGGGAGACTTTCTGTTCTTCATCAGGCAATGGCGTTCCCACCTGCCTTGCTCCACCCTCCAGCCCTGGAAGCCTTTCCCAGACCATGACTTTGAGAACAGCAGCAGCAGAAGAGCAAAGTTCAGGGATATTTTTTAAACATTTTATAAGTTGTGCGTCCTTGTTTCTCAATTTGTTATTTTTACATGGTTTTGTATGTTTTGTGGTATTTTATGCATTGTGATTTGCTGTTATTTTTATTGATTTTAGATCGGCAATTCTTTATTGTGGTTGATAAGTGTAAACTGTTTAATTATTATTTGCTGAAGTTTAATTTTACTGTTTACTATTAGATTCTGATGGATTGTTGAATGTTGCTTTGTTTGATATAAGTTGTTGATTTTAAAGTTATTGTGACTTTTTATATTGGATCAGATTGCTACTATTATTTTATTACGTTTTTATATGTGTTGGAAGCTGCCCGGAGAGCCTGGGGCAACCCAGCCAGATGGGTGGAGTATAATTATAGTTATAATTATAATTAGCCCTGGAGAGACCCACCAGGGTTCTTCTTATGCTCTTATCACGTCATGAGCCAATAATGGGCCTGAACACACCAGTTGAAAACCAGTGGTCTAACCTGATGTGGGATGCGGGTGGCGCTGTAGGTTAAACCACAGAGCCTAGGACTTGCCGATCAGAAGGTCGGCGGTTCGAATCCCCGCAACGGGGTGAGCTCCCGTTGCTCGGTCCCAGCTCCTGCCCACCTAGCAGTTTGAAAGCATGTCAAAGTGCAAGTAGATAAATAGGTACCGCTCCTGCGGGAAGGTAAACGGCGTTTCCGTGCGCTGCTCTGGTTCGCCAGAAGCGGCTTAGTCATGCTGGCCACATGACCCAGTAGCTGTAGGCCGGCTCCCTCGGCCAATAAAGCAAGATGAGCACCGCAACCCCAGAGTCAGTCACGACTGGATCTAATGGTCAGGGGTCCCTTTACCTTTAACCTGATGCCAGTTATTTTTACTGCTGTCCAAGGTCTCTGAAGAGAGGTATTTCCCAGCCTATTACCTGAGATCCTTCAGTGTGAGTCATTGAACTTGGGACCTTGGGCATGAAAAACCATTTGAGCACAGCATCCAGATTATTTCACAGAATGATAGGTTCTCCATTCTTTTGCCATGATCACTGCTCTTTTTCACTCAGCTTAGTTTGAGTGTTGATGCTGGGGTAGAGATGCCATTCCATGTCACTTTAGCATGTCTTTACCCATAAGTTTCCTATTTCTGCCTTAATCTGTGATTATTATTTTTAAATCACAACTTTAAAAGAATACATATTTTAAATTGTATTTTCTCTCAAAATACTCATGTTAAATTTTTTTTAACCTGAAAGAATTGTTGCAGATGGTCATCTGTCCTGTATGATCTACTTGAGATTCCTGCAGTGCAGAGGATTAGATTGGATGACCCCATAATTCTAGGAAATGTGAATACTGGTGGATTACTGAGTTCTTATCTACACATTAGTCAAGAGGCAATGATAAGGTCAATTCATAATGGAATACAGAAAAATAGATACTTGAGAAATTCGGTGCTGAAATACACTTGATCACATCAAATTGTTTTTCCTTAGGTTATCCACTGTTTCTATAATGGAAAGATGAAGAGAAATAAATTATTGATATTTTAAAAAATCCAAATAATTATCCAGTTTAATGGCATTATTCTTAATTTACTCTAATTTTGGCAGACTGATACTTTGCTGTGCATTCTATTTAGACCCCCCCCCCCGTGAGAAAATGGGCAGTAATAAACAACTAATGGGCACATTTGTGTGTAAAATACTGAAATGAAAATACTGATTAACCTTCTTAACTTGTAAAGATAGTGTTCCTGAAAGTAAGAAATGCCTCATTCCACATCACTCTTTTATGGAGTCTTATTTTATGCTGTAAGGCATCAATGTCATTGAGCATTTATTAGAAACCTGAACACACATGACTGAATAATTGTGTGTCTTCTCTGTCTTTTGTCCAATGAAAACTGACAAGAAGGAGCTTATTAGCTTTGATAATGTCTCTCTGACTGACATTGCTGACGTTGTATATGGGAGATCTCAGCCTGGATACTTCTAAAAGAAGAAATGACATGAAAGTGATTGATTTTAGCGATTTTGCAAGTGTGTGCCCATGTTTAAGCACAACTGCCATACTATTTTAATTGGTTAACTGGACTGGTAATAAAAAAGTGGAAAGAAGAGATACGGAAATATTCTATATTAGTGCTAAATCGTAGGAATGAGAGAGGCCCAGGCATATCTTGTATGCAGATAAATAACCTAATCAAGTGAAGATTTTCTATTCATTGAAGCCTATTGTTTTTGGAGATGAAAGACAGTTGCCATGTGATGAACACTTCAGCTGACCAGGTTATCGTATTTTATTAGCTATCAGGGTGTAAAGAGCGGGATTGTCTCAGTTCACTTACTCGGTCTTCACTTCCTTTGCCCTCTTCTCTTCTTGCTGGTGAACAGTGTTATATCCTGAGGAGGAAGCAGAATAGAATAATAGTTGTGAATGTGTCTGCATAAACCCTGAAATCCGGAGATGAAGTTCTGGGCTGAGAACTTAAGCTGCTTCATATCCTTGCTCTAATCAAGTGCGATGCTTTGCTGTTCCCATCAGCCTTGGTAACAAATAAACTTGGCATGTGATGCAGAGCTTAGGAGGTGCAGGGTGCCTTAAACTGAAAAGTTTTTTGGGTCTTGTTCCAAAGCCATCTGTTAGAGTTTTGTCATCAGATTTGTTCAGATCAGAAGTCAATAAGGAAGTTTTGAAAAACCAGCATTGCATAGGTATTTTTATCTAGTTTTCTAAAACCAGTAATTTGGAGCCTTATTTTTTTAAAAAAGTGAGAGTGGTTTTGTCTTTTTTTGTTTGCCCCCATGCATGGACTATAGCTTCTTTTTTCCTAGTGAGAAGGGATTTCAGGACTAGAGAGACATGGTAACAACAACAACAATCCATAAACACCTTTTAACTTTTTTGTTCCTCATAAAAGCATTTGATTAGCTATTGACTATGCAAGATCAAAAATCAGTAAGAAAATCTGTTTTACTATGCCCCTAAACATGTTTGCTTTTCCCTTTTCATTTCTTGGGGTTTTTTGTTTGTTTGTTTGTTTGTTTTAAAATGAAGCAGCAGCAGCAATGTTTTAAGGCCATAAGTTGAATTTGGACATTTTCTGTGGAGGTGATTACCACTAGCGAACCACAGGAAAGGCATACTTTGATTTCTTCCCTCTTTTTGCTCCATATCGTACTAAATTTTACTAAAGGATGCCTTGTGAGAGGGTTCCATAGTTCACATTTGATGACAATGAGTGAAATATGCAAATTAGATGGTTGTAACTATACTGTAAGAGGTTACTCTGTACTAAATTGATTTTAGAGAAACAGTGAAACATACACTATCCATAAAGAGATTCATGAACCATCCAAATGTATACTTCATCAGCTCAGTAAAATGGAAGACTTTTTATGGTAGTGTGCACTTCATCAGCTGCAAGAACATAATATGAAAACGATTACTTCCTCAGCATTTGTAATCTTGACTGAAAATTCACATTGCCTTTTTCATGTTGTCTGCAGTGTTCAGAGCCACAGAAGCTGTTTAACATTGCAAGTGAACTTCTTCATACGGAAGAAGCTTATGTTAAAAGGCTTCATCTTCTGGATCAGGTAAGTCTACTTCTATATGGGGAATTAGTCTTGCTAAAAATTTGTAAGAAAACTTAATTTTTCTCTACTAGATCAGTTCATTTTGAACAAGTATGTCTGTATAGCTGATGGTAGTTATTTTCGACAATTAACTTCCTCAAAAGTCAAATTTATCTGTAATAGCTGAGTCAGATGTCTGTTGTCTTTTAGCCAATTGTGCAATGTCTTGTGCGGAAGTAGAAAAATATATAATTGGAACACATTGTAAAGAAACCTTTCCATTTAGCCTCTTTCTTTCTTTCACTAGTTTTTTTGTCTAGCCAAATGTTAATTAAGAATGATACTTGAAAATATTTGTAAAGCACCTTTATATGTTAAATCCATGTTTTTTCTTTAGTTAGCTTTCACTCTAAATGGCTAACATAACAAATGGCTTTGAAATAAGCAGGTGGCAGATTTATTGGAAATATATATGGATGTCTTTAGTTGAGGAGTCCTTCTAACAAGCTAGACATGTCTCTTGAATACATCTTGGGGAGAAATTCAAAAATCTGTATCCGTTATCTGTCAACATCCAGCTGCTTAAATTAGTATAAATAATATACTTTTGGTTCTGATGTTGTGTGTGTGTTTTGGTGCAGGTTTTTTGCACTAAATTGTTTGAGGCGGGGATTCCACCTGATGTGGTAACAGGAATCTTTTCAAATATTTCTTCCATCTATCGCTTCCACGAACAGTTTCTTCTGCCTGAGCTCAAAACAAGGATTACAGATGAGTGGTGGGTAAATGAAGGACTACAAACAAATGTTTCTATGTTAAGAATTTCCTAGAAACTAAAAACGTCTGCTTCTGTAACATGCTAGCACAACAAAATATAATGCACTGTTATTGGTATGTATCTGTATGTCACATCTTAACACTCCTGAGTGTTCCATGAACTTTACAGAATAAAGTTCAGGAGATGGCCCTCCTGAAATAGTTCCACCATGTGGTTTCACTGGCTTTGAAACCCCTGCTGCATCTGAAACTATGGCACCTACTAAGCCTCGCCCACATTAGCACAAGCTTCTATCTTGTTTTGCTTTCCTCTGTCTTTTCAGAGGCAGGGATCAGCAGCTGGTGCAGGAACAATGCTCTTTCTCATTGTTTTCAGTGTTAGGCACTGTTCCATGCTTGCATCTGAACTGCATGCTTGGAGCTAGCCTCAGGGAAGCCCATCTTTGTGAAGGCTCCATTTCCAAATCTAGCATACAAAGCCTTGGGTCAAAGCCTTGGCTGGGAAATAGAATTGCACCATAAGCACACAAATGTCTTTGGTAAAAGTATTCCCTAATAAGAATTCATACGTGGAGATAGCTATCTGTTTAGTTTTTTGTGACTAATTCACATCTGCAACCAAAAATGCAGTGAGGCCTGCGCTCAGGCCCCTTTGACATGTCCTTTAAAAAGACATTGTATACTTCGCTTATTGAAAAACATATATTTAGATTGTTAAAAAGTTTTGGTCGAGTTCCTGTAAGGCAGGGATGTCCAACAGGTCGATCGGGATCCCCGGGAGGTTGCAGTCAATCGCTGTCAATCGCGGGCTCATTTCCCTTTGCTTTTGCCTAAGAGCACCTGGCCCTGGCCCCTCTCTCCTGCCTGTATTTTCTCCTGATCTCTGTAACGTAAGACAGACTTTTTGCTGTTCTGCTAAATGTTTCCCGTTCCCGCTAAAAGTCCCCCCCAAAAAACGGAACCCCAACAAAATGGGGCGTTTCCCCTCCCTAAAAAAGCTCAACAACTTTGACCGGAACCCCTAAAAACCCCTAAAAAGGGTGGTAGATCACTGCCAGATTTTAATTCTGAAAGTAGATCGCAGTCTCTCGGGAGTTGGCCACCCCTGCTCTAAGGAAATAAAGCTGTCCTTGGGTAAGAGGACAGCTCCTCCTAAGGATGAGAACCTGGTTAAAAGACAGGCAAAAGATACATATAAACGAATTTTCATAATGAACAGAGGTGTAACCATGGCTGTCCCTCGTGAATCTTCATTGCTGTTTAACTTGTTCTCGAAAAATGTGAATAATGTGATAGCAGCCATAAGACACCAAATCATTCAGATTGGTCAGTCCCGGGTATTAAAGCATGGGAAAGAGAATAAAGTTTAATAGAGAACGGGAATACAATTTCCTAAACATTTATGAAACTACAGCATCAGTCCTTGAGAAGGGGCAGGGTGATTGTTGCTCCCTGCTTGCAATAATGCTGTACTTGCTAGGATGGGGTGGGGTGAGATCGGAGGAGCTGCAGCTTGGCAACAGAGCATTTTTGCTGCTCCCCCCATACACCACTGCTGTGGAGACTCCAACTGGTGTTTGCCTGTAAAATTGTAGAGTTGGAAGGCACCCCGGGGCCATCTAGTCCAACCCCCTGCAAAGCAGGAATCTTAACACACAGTCCCTCATCCAGTTTGAAACGATACTGTGCCCTGCTTAGCTTGGCAAACGTGCTAGCAGCTTTACTGCCACACAACTTGATGTGAGATAATTCAAATATGCACTTTTACAAAACTTGCCATTTTGAATTCCAAATGGTGTAATAATAGAAGCACTTGTTTACAAAAGAATTGAAGTGTTGTTTTCAGACTCGTGTGTTTAATTTTGATGCAAGTGAGTAAGTAGAATTTCCCCCCATCCACATCATTTTAACTATACTTGTAATTTATGAAGATCAATTATATCAGACTGCATTCAAACATAGGATGTGTAATTGTAGTTGCCAGCTGATGTCATATTTCATTTCCGTGCTTTTCTTTAAATTTGTCTTGTTATTTCTTCTGTCTACAGGAATACAAACCCAAGGCTCGGAGACATCGTCCAAAAACTTGCTCCATTTCTGAAGATGTATGGAGAATATGTAAAGAATTTTGACAGAGCAATGGACATGGTGAACACATGGATGCAGAGATCTGTTCCTTTTAAAGCTGTTATTCAAAACATACAGGTATAAATCATTTGTACTTATCACAGTCCATGCCTTGTTGACATTACACATGCGAGGGAGTGAAACCAGAAGAAGTTCCATTCCACACACTTATGGTATCATATACTGGATAGGTCTGCCTGTGTAGCTCTGTAGCCAAGAAAACCTTTTAGGGAAGGCAGGGTTGATTTCAGTGACGTGTGATTGTGCCAGCTAGATCTCTGGCTAGCTCATTGGTTTTACACAGAGTATTGTAATAAATATAAACCATTAAATGGGCATATGAAATTTATTATTATAAACTCTGAATTGAAGCCAGGCTTAAAAGGAAAATAACTTCCTTGAAGAAGCCACTTTTTATGGCTTGACTTAGTGTTATGTCTGAACCTGAGATCATGGTTTATTTCTTCTAGACAAGCCGTGAACAGTAAGACCTTGGTTTCAGGTCATGGTTTGTCCAGAGCAAAATAAACCACGATCCTGGATTCAGAAGTAACGCTAAGCTAAGCATGAGTACTGTAAGCTAAGCCTACAGTAGTAGGACCAGAGGAGAAACAAAGCTTCTACAACCTTCTAACTGGGAACCATCAACATTTGCTGGCTTGCATTAATCCATAGTTTAAGATAAACCTGTTTTTCTCTTCATGCATAGTCATTATATTGATCAATGTATTCCATCATAATTAACTTGCAGACTTTGAGTTGAATCCAATGTTAGTTTTACTTAGAGCAGACTAGTTTAAATTAATAGACATGTGTAACTTAGGTCCATTAATTTCAATGGGCAGGATTTGTCTATTGAGTCCCAGTCAGCAGCAGAAGCCCTGTGCAAGGATTTCTTCCTGCACAGTGAGCCTCCTTCCCTCTCCTCCCCCTGGATGCCCCCCTAAAGTGACTGGTGGTGGTGGTAGGGTGGTCCCGAGAACTCCCAGAACAGTGCATGGTGGGAGGAGACAGTAAGGTTCTGCCCAGTAAGGTGAAATACTTGCACTGGTAGAATGATCAGAAGAGCTTGATGTTGACTTCCTTCCATTGGGTCTATTCTGTATACAACACTTCGTACTTGTTTGTTTTGTGATGAATATACCACTGAGAAATAATGAAATAAATAATACTGTTACAGGAAAGGAACATGAATTGGGTAGTAGATATGGAGATGTACTGCTGTACTGGACTGAGCCTAGGTTGAAACCCAAGGTATCAGTAAGAGATGCCTTTGGGCCTGGATCCAGCATGACATAGTAACTAAATGTCCTTTCCTCTCCTTCCCCTTTTTATTATGATGATAATTTGTACATCTGAAACACTTTGCTTGATTCTGTATTTACCTTGCCATGACCACCAGCATCTTTATGATAATTTAAAAAACTGACTAATTAAACATATGAACATCTTTCTACAGTCCTACATCAGTAAATGGTTTAAGTATATGGATATGGCAAAATAAAAATAAAAAAATGTTCAGAAAATCAGCCTGCTTTCCTTCAATTACAGAAAGAAGAAATATGTGGAAACTTGACATTACAGCATCACATGCTGGAACCTGTACAGAGAATTCCACGCTATGAGCTTCTCCTAAAGGATTACCTTAAAAAACTTCCTGAAGAGTCACTAGACCGAAAAGATGCTGAAAGTATGTATAGTTTTCATCCACATGGTTCGGCATCATATTCTGTGTGGGGGCATAAATATGCATCATGTTATAGCTTTTCAAAATTAAACCTTTTCCTCTTTTGTCAGAATCTGACAACAACACTCTTTGACTGATGGATTTCTATTGTGGACCTGTTAAACCAAACATGACATTTCTTTTTTACTTAGTGCACAGCACCTGATACATACCTATTGCATGATAATGATAGTTCCAATCAACTTATTCTGTGGTAGTGAAGCTTCTGACATCAGTTGGCTGAAGTGTCATGATGGCGCATAATGTTTCCTGACATTTCAACTGTTTGCCAGCCAACTTTTTTGAGAGAGAAATTGAATTTCCGATTGGGTAGGATTTCAACTTTACACAGGGACAGAAATAGATAGGTTCCCCATCTGCTGATCTATATCTTTTAAATGCCCTAATACATTATTCTATGTGTTACATGTAAAGAACATATCTTTGGCCATTTTCCCCCTAGGTGCTATGAGTTGGATGTAGGATTCTTCCTGTTCAAAAGTATCCAGGCCAGTTCATGCAATCCTCCCACCCACACTCAGCATGTGCTGGGACAGAGAAGCAAGCCTTCCTCCTAATAGCTTGCCATACGCTCAGTCTTGCTTGATCTGCTTTGTATGCTTAACTGGCTGAAAGTCTAATGTGATATCAGTTCCCCTGCAGGTTTCCTTCCACAAAGAAAAGTACAGACAAAAGGGGACTTGCAGTGCCTTATGCGGATTCTGGGCAACTGAAGAGAAGCATTTGCTAAAGACAGCTTCCTTCTATATAATGAATATGTGCCTTGGAAGCACACAACCAGAAAAGGCACAAATTATGTTCCAGATGTGAAACACCTTCAGAGAGGTGTTTGAGGCTGGGCTTGAACATTAAGAACCTACATTAACACCAACCATAAATTAAGGAAAAGAAATTCTTGTTCCTGCACAGGAAGTTGTAGAAATAGGGCTGTGCCTAAGCAAAATAACTCTTCATATATTGCATGCTTTCCTCTCTTGGTAATTTACTGGGTAATTTACTGTTGCGCACTGTATACAGGGGACTCTCGACTTACGCGGGAGTTACATTCTGGGTATCACACATAAAACCAAATTCACGTATAGTCAAAACACATTGGGTTCAATGGCAGGTAGGATTACCAAAGTCATTTTTCCTGGAACACCCTCCCTCATTCCCCTTTTTATTTACTTTTTTAATTCTTTTGCCAAGCATGTAAATCTGAATGCACACAAGTTGATGTGCTACTTATTTCAGATATTATAAATGTGTCTTGCATACACACTTGACCCTCACAAGCACAGGAATATGATTCAATGGACTTGTCCTTACAAACCTGTCATTTATGTGCAGCTGCATTTTTGCAGAAATGCTGTACACATCAGGGAAATAAAAAACTGCACTATTAACTGATAATGATCTCGAGAATGTGTAACTGCTGCTGCTTTATTGCAGAATCACTGGAGCTCATTTCTACTGCGGCAAACCATTCAAACGCAGCCATCCGAAAGATGGTGAGTAGAAATTGTGTAACTGAATCATCACCTGAGCCATTAACTGAGCTTCCTATTTGAACCAGTGGTTTTCTCATTACTCCATGAAGACTTAATGTTGGTTTTTCATACTTATTCAAACTTTCTAGATCAAACTGAAGTATAAATTAGTGCCTTTCTATAGTTATTATCTATTATTTATGTATATGAGGTCCGTCCCCCCCGGCATTTTCTCTCTTGTGACTGATACTAATTTATGTAGCCATTTTCAAAAACTCATCTTTTGTTGTAGTTTCTTTCCTGTGTATTCTAAAAATGTTCATAAGTTTTAAATATTCAGCCATTGTTCTTGCAAATGAAACAGGCCAGTTAGGGGGTTTGACCCTATATATGACAGAGATCAGGTCCATATATTTACCTTTTTTACCCATATATGAATATGAACATATATGAGATAGGTGTTGTGTGAAATCGCAATTGCCTGTGACCCTAATACCATTTTGGGGGCAGGAGGTATTCTTGTCATTAGGCAAATGAATGCATGGCTCACAATGAGCTTATTTATAGTGTGGCAAGTGAACGTGTTCCTAAGGTATATTCCCGCTCTGCCAAGTGAAAAATAAGCCAAACCCAGATTAAAGACCATGCTTCTGCCATTAAGAAGACATATATAAAGACAGTTGTTTATAAGTGAAAATACTATAGGAAATGTAACAATGATGGAATAAGCAGCAGAGCATATGCTTTGCCTACAGAAGTTTCTGGTTTCAATACCTGCAGAGCTTCTCTAAGTTCATGTGGTTGAGCAGATGACATCTCAGTTAGTAAAACTCTGAAAGGCAGGCTTAGTCTGGTTTCCAAAATGGCAATGTATGCACTAACTGCAATAAGAACATTTACAAAGATTAGCAATACTTCTTTGTAATCGGGTTGAAACACTGAAAATCCATAAAACTCTGTGTGTGTGCGCGCGTGCGCGTATACACAATACTGAGACAATTTCTATAAGATCCAAGCTTTGTGTATGTGTTTATTTAATAAAATCATCCTGCCTTCTCTTGAAAACATTTTAAAGAAAATGCAAGGTTTGTTTTAGATGTTACATATTTACTTGTCTAATTTACCTCCCAGCAACACTTCTGTTTTTGTAAGAAATAATTATAGGCAGTGTTTTTAAATGAACCCACTTGTTTCTCACTCTGGGCGTACTTCACAGGAAGTAGTTGTGGCTTCTTCTCTTTCTCAGATTCACAAGTTAGAGGTGTTTTCATCTTCCTTATTGAGACACCATTATTCTTGCACAGGAGTAGGGAACATTTACATTCAAAGGGTCTCTTATCTTGCCAGTGCTCCGAGTGCCAAGTGGATGGGATCAAAGGCTGGCAATAATGAAGAAACCATGCAGCTTGCAACACACACATATAGCAAGGCATGGGGAACAGTTGCTGAGGAAGCTGAAGTGTGTGTAGTCTTAATCCTATCAATGTTTAATTGATTTTTAATTATTGTTTTTAGTGGTTTTTAATGTTCTTGTAAGCCACCTTGAACTATGTCAGGGAAAATGGGGTGGGGGATTAACCACAACAACAACATACAGTGGTACCTCGGGTTACATACGCTTCAGGTTACATACGCTTCAGGTTACAGACTCCGCTAACCCAGAAATAGTGCTTCAGGTTAAGAACTTTGCTTCAGGATAAGGCGGTGCAGCAGCAGCAGGAAGCCCCATTAGCTAAAGTGGTGCTTCAGCTTAAGAATAGTTTCAGGATAAGAACGGACCTCCGGAACGAATTAAGTACTTAACCTGAGGTACCACTGTACTAGTTGTACTCATAATAGATCTGTTGGAATCAAGAAACATTACTACCTCACGTCCTTCAATGCCAATGGGTCTACCCTGAGAAGAATTTGGTTGTCAGGAAAAAATTAATGGCTGCACTGAAAATTGGTGTACGGACCTTTGTGATACATATAAGGCAGCTCCTGCTTGCTAAAATTCGTATGTGGGCATCAGATCCCCGTGAAAGTGTCTTTCTCTAGTTTCCAGCTCCTATTACTGCTGTTATGAGGGCTAGAATTTTATCTTCTTTATGATCTTGGGAATCAATTTCCTGACTACTTTGACAGAAGAGCTATTTGGGATTCTGCAATGAAGTACCAAGAGATGATTAAAATAGAGAGGATTAAATGCTTTATGTTGCTAGAGTGCATTCTGTTTTCATGGTTGCTTTTTTAAGGCTGTGAAAAACCATGGACTTGCACTGTTTATTTCTTCTTTCATGTATTTTTTTGTTGGTTCATTGTTTTTTATTTTTTAATACCAATATTTAGTAATTCTTCAGTAGGTAGCATTTCCCCTGTTAATTAATTGAATTATTTTTTTCTTCTAGTGTGTGTATCGTAAAGCAATAGACTAGCTGTTAGCTGAGTTGGCATTTCCTTTTTGTGCTTGTAGGAAAAGATGCACAAGCTGTTAGAAGTGTATGAGCGCCTTGGAGGAGAAGAGGATATAGTTAATCCAGCCAATGAATTGATTAAAGAAGGGCATATTCAGAAACTGTCAGCAAAGAATGGCACCGCTCAGGATAGGTATCTATTTCTGGTGAGTTACTTCATTTCTCAGGAGTAAAGTGTTCACCTACTTTGTAGACACAAAGTCTCCTTTGATCTGATTGGTCAGGTCTGGCTGGTGGAGTCTGCTCTGTATTGCACATGTATTTTCCTTTCACAAAAGCAGGTTCTGTTCTGTTTTAAAGAAAATGTTCTTTCTGTTGTCATACCAGTATTTGATGATGCTTTGGGTTTTGTGTAATTGGCACTTTTATTAGTTTACCCCAGAGTGCTGCTGAATATTAAATAGTCCACAGACATTAACCTGACAAACCCATTTCCACCAGACTTAAGTATAATCTTTTAAATTATCATTAACAATCACAGGCTCCTATGGACAGTGTCAACCATTTTGTGCAAAAAACAGGAGCAGCACTTTGGAAATCTGAGGTCAGGCCCGGCCAGCCATTAGATGTTGATCTTCTGACATGGCTCTCTGAATATAATATCCACACATAGTTTCTCTCTGTGTGAGTCCACATGTGACATAGAAGGCTTTTCTTATTTTTATAGTTCTGCAGAGAATACTGCTGAAATATCTGCTGGAAAACACTCTGGCATCTTTCCAGCATGTTGTGGGTTGGTTTTGCACAGGTATATTGTACATTGCAGGTATAGGGCAGGATTCAGCTGACTCCTGTTGTCACAAGCCCTGCATGAGGACGTCTGCTTGTACAAGGGGTATTTCCCCTCCCCGGAAATTGGCTCTGGGGTGGGTGAGTAGGAGAACAACCAATATAGTGTGTGTGGAGAAGAGGGCGGTGGGGGGTGTCATTCTGTCTGGCAGTGGCATTGAATTTCACTCATAGTTATTGCCAGGCAATTTCCCCCCCCCCCATCTGTAACCAGGCCTTTGGTCTTTAACTAGATCTGTGGCCTTTTGTACATGGCCAGGATGTTTTTAATGTGTTTCTTTTTCCTTTTGCTTTTAATGTATTTATTGTGGGGTGTTGTTTGTTTTCTGTTTGGTTGTAAGTTACCTTGGGTTGCCCTGGGCAAGATGAAGCGACCAAGAAATTTAATAATAATAATAATAATAATAATAATAAATCACAATTCATAGAAGATAGATGATTCACAGTCAAAATCGAGCTTTCCTCAATCCCCGCATGAGCTGTTGCTATAAAAATGAATTCCAGATAAATTTCACACACCACAGTGCTAGAAATTTTAACCTTTATTGGAGAAATGAACTATAACAACTGATTTTGCAATTAAGGGTGTGGCTATGCTTACTGATTTTATAATGAAGGATGTGGCTGAATATTAAAGTGATTTCCACATACCATAACAAGAATTTTCCATCAATTGCAGTTTAACAGCATGGTGTTGTACTGTGTGCCCAAACTGAGATTAATAGGCCAGAAATTCAGTGTGCGAGAAAAGATCGATATTGCAGGATTGCAGGTTTGTATCTTGCTTGTTTGCATTTATAATATACTTTTATAACAGTGCTTGGATAGCTCAGTTGGTTGGAGCGTGCTGCCGATAATGCCAAGGTTGCAGGTTCAATCCCCATAAGGGACAGCTGCTTAGTCCTGCATTGCAGAAGATTGGACTAGTTGATCCTCAGGTTCCCTTCCAACTCTATGATTCTGTGATTCAGGATTTGTCACTTGTTGAGAAACAAGCACTTCGGCCATCCCCAAATGCATAAGCAAAGTAAAACACAGGCAACGTGGAAGACGGAACATGACATGCTGTTATTGAAGATGGAACTGCAGGAAATGAGTATGCAGTATTGCAGACTTCAACAGGGGGACTGTGCAAACAATAACAACAACAAAGCCACAGTCAGTTTCTCCTTTGGCATCGCAGTACCATCAGTGCCACTTGAAAGCCGCTGAGCTTAAAACATAGTGGATGTGGACCCATACATTTCTCCGTGCCTAGACAAGTCGCAGATACAATCTAGGTTAGAGTTCAAGTCTCTTCCACCAACTGCTTCTGCACCTTACAGCTGGCAAACCTTGTTTGTATCTCAGAAAAACCCTTGTGTAAATAATGCCTCTGAAAGCATTGTCATTAAAAAGTAGACACTAGATGTTATTTTTAAACAAACAGTTCATTATTATTAATAGTTGCTGCTCTTTAGAGAGAGTAGAGGTTTGTTTGGTAATCTTAAAAGTGTTTGGAAAATTATATTTTAAAGTATAGCAAAATATACTTGGTTTCCTAGGTCCAGGAAATCAGCAAGCAAAACGTGGCTCATACATTCTCAATAACAGGAAAGAAGAGATCATTGGAGCTACAAGCTAGGTACAGAATTTTGTTCATTCATTCTGCATGTTTTGAGCAAGGAATGTTAGGCTGTGGAAGCAATTGGTAAAATAATTCATTCTAGTAAATTCAATTGTTTTGAATCATAAATAAGGTAAAGGGGAAGCAAAGGGTAGTTTTCAATTATATGCTGCCGAGTTTAGAATAGGTGGCATATCAGATTCCAGCAACAAAACATGAATTTACTGTAGAGATGAATAAGACTATTATCTGCTTATAAGACTGCAGATATTAAAACAGCTACTGAATATGCTACATGTATACAACATGTATGTCTTTTCTGCATTTTATAGGACAGAAGAAGAGAAGAAAGAATGGATCCAGGTCAATATAAGCATATTTTACTTAGCCTTTATGCCATCCCATTTCATTTTCGGTGTTCTTCTTTGCTAAGTACATTAAGCTGCATATAGGAACTTTTTCCTCCATTTCATTATTTCCAAGCTGTTATACCCCACCCTGCCAAAAAGACACCTTTCCCTGAGCAACTTACAATAAAACAATAAAATACAGCTATACAAAGATAAGTAAAGCTGAGTAAAATAACAATAAAGCTAGCAAAAGTTTTTTTAAAAAAAAGCATTATAAAAAAACCAGACACTGGAGATGAAAGCATGCCCTTAACATGCCTGAGACAGTAAAAAAAAACTTTGGTGCTAAGATGATGTCAGAGTAGGCAAATGTGAACCTCCCAATGGTATTCCATAACTAGGACTGTAACAGAAAAGGCTGCTCCCTAATCATACTCCACCAAGGGTTGTATCTAGCAAAGCCATCCTATCAGTGCAGGGACTTATGCCTGAACAACAGAACAGCCTCTCTGCCCCATGTGACGCTGCACTCCACCCAGATCTATCCTGGGGTTTCCTCCAACCCTCCACAGCAGATTGGTGAGGGAGTAGAGGGAGAGGAAGTCCCGTTATGCAAGCAGAAGGCATTATGCAGCTTGGTCGGATACAGCCCTGTATTTGTGATGGGTATCCAAAGTCTCTGAGAATTATCTTAAGGCACTCATGTGCCTTAAGAAAATGGTCACATATGTCCCAAGCCATGAAGAAATAACTTTAAAAGTGAGCATAATCACTTTAATGTGAGCCTGAACATAGACGAATAGCCAATGCAGATGCTTCAGAACAAGCAAGATGGATTCCTAATGCAGAGTCCCAGTTAGCATTTCCACAATAGTATTTTACAATAACTGCGTCTTCAAAGGCAGCCTCACATGTACTCTATTACAGTAATGGAAAATATTGCTTCGGGGTGATGACTTCTACATTGAAATCTTATTGGTGTTTTAGCAGAAGACCCATTGCCTACCTCTCCCATTACATTTATATAATTCTGGTAGTGCTTTTGTTCCTTATAGTTAGTTAACTGAAGTGACCTTTCAGTTTTTACAGAATACATTCTTAATTTGAGGCTCTACTTTTGTAAGTCATACTTGGAAATTCTTCATCTTGTAGAAACAACACTCTTAGGTAATGACATCAGCAAACAGTTTTGTTTTGTTTTTAAAAAGGTTTTTGGTTTTGTGTTCTAAATAAGATTTTGCAGCTTACTTTTACTTACTGCATTTCTTGGAATTTTATTGCAGGTCATTCAAGCAACAATTGAAAAACATAAACAGAACAGTGAAACGTTTAGAGCTTATAACAGCTCTTTTTCTCAAGAAGATGAGCATCTCCCAGATTCATCAGTAAGCATTTAGTGATCATTATTCCTGTGGGTCTTTGCTGTCATATATATTGCACTTAAACTTGCAAAAAAATTTTTTGTTTTTAATTTGTAGCCTGTGGTTTTGATCCAGAGTTCCCATAAGTGGAGCTTCACTCCTGGGACTTTCCATTGGGGAACTGGACAAAGGGAGGCAATTTTCTCCATCTCTTGACACTTGCTTATATTGAGTTACATTACTCACTTCATGAACATGCTTAAAAGCACAGGTTCTAGTACCAATCCTTGGTGGCATAGGAATCAACTCCTACGGGTCAAGGTCCTTTCACGCCCCCCATAAAATATTTGAGGGGCCCCCCACCTAAAGTAGATGGGCATTACCATTCAAATAGCATGTGTGTGCTGTGTGTTTGATTGATTATGCAAGGTTGGCTCTCTTGCTTGGTGGACTCCACTTTCTGCTTCCATCCATTAGAACTATCCATTTATTCCTTCTCTCTGCATCCTGTTTCTTACCCAGTTACTGATTCTTAAGAGGACCTCTCCTCTTATTCTGCGACTGATAAACTTACTCAGGAATATTTGACGATGTACTTTTATCTATATACTTGTTGGCACTCTCAAAGTACTAAGAAAGGTTAGTGAGACAGGACCTACCTTTGCTGAAACTTGTTCTTCTATATGCTTGGGAGTTCTACCTTTAATAAAGCTTTTCACCAGTTTTCCAGGAATAAGTAAGCTGGTCTGTAATTTGCTGGATCCCTTTAAAAGACATTCATGTTAAGTTGGCTACTTTCCACTACTCAGGTATGGGGATTGATAGTAGGCACATGTTACATATTTTTCTTAGAAGATCAACAATTTCACATTTGAACTCTTTAAGAACTCTCATCTGGACCCAGTGTTTTGTCAGTTTTCAATTTGCCCATAAGACCTAGAACGTAGTCACTTATCACTGCTATTCTCATACTCCATCTCTAAGAAAGTTCAAACACAGGGATTTATCCCACATCTTCTGTGAAGGCAGGCATAAGAATTCATTCAGCTTCTCTGAACTTTCTCTTCTGTCCTTTAACAGTCTTTTGATACCCATGTCATTCAAAGATCCAGCTGCTTTCCTAGCTGGTCTCCTGCTATTCATGTATTTAAAGAGTTTTTTGTTGGTGGTCTTTATGTTTTTAACAATGTGCTCCTTGAATTCCTCTCCCTTTCCTTTCAACAAAGCTGCAATTTTCTCAAGAAAATGGTCTCTAATAGCCTCTAAGAGCTTCCTTTTCTCTGCTTGCTAACCATGATGACATCCTCTTGGCCCTGGTGGTACATTTCTTGAACTGTAGTATACATTCTAGTCGAGCTTTCATTGTGGTTTTGAAAACCCCCAAGCATTCTGGAGAAATTGGGTCCTCTTTACTTTGCCTCTTAGCTTCCTTTTTACCAGTTCCTTCATTCTGGGGAGCTTTTCTCTTTTGAAATCAAATGTGACTGTGTAGAACTTTCTGGGCAATTGTCCGCTTACATATATGTTAAATTTGATAGTATTATGGATCACTGTTCCCAGTTGGATCAACAGTACTTATATCTCACACCAGGTTCTGATTTCTACCGCTCTAGTTGATTCCCATAGAACATCATCATTTAGGATATTTAGAAATAGATGTTATCAGTTTGTTATGTTTGGAGCATATAGCCTGTCTGTATGAGGGTAATTAAAGTCACCCATTACTACAGCAGTTCTCCTTTGGATGTCTCCTGGATTTTATTCTCCATCTCAAGCTTCTCTCAGCATTTTGGTCAGGGTGATGATAGTACACCCCCAGTACTAAATTGCTCTTGGAAGCCAGTATTACCACCCACAACAGTTATGTGGATGAGCCCCTTTGGGGATTTCTAACTTGCTGGACACTGTATCTGTTGATGTGCAGAGTGACACCCCTTCCAGTGTTGCTAGCTTTCAAGAATTTTAAATATGAAGATTTTATGTTCTATTAGAACCAAAATGTTATCATATCATGGGCAGATATATGTTGGTGTGCACAAAAAGAGCCAGTGCGGTATAGCCTATGGTATGTTTGTATGAGCCTTTTGAATCCAGGTTCAAATCGCCACTCAGATATGAAGTTCATTGGGTCCTTGAGCAGTCCTAACATGCAGGTGCTTTGCTGGGAAATGCTGAAATGGGAACACCCTGGACAAAAGGTAGATAGATTATAATAAAGTATAACTACTGATATCCTGTGTACATTAGACAGAGAAGGTCTATTCTGATGCCTCATTTATTATTCCACAATGTCAAATTACAATGTTGGGTAGAACTGTATCCATAGTGGATGAAATGCCTCTCAGGTATTTTGTGTCGCCGCCCATTGTCTTTAGCTGTTCTGTGTATATTTCAAATCAGCTCTTTCCTCAGTGGTGTCATATACCATTACGGTCTGGTGTCCATGTAACAGTGCAGACCTTCATTGCACCTCTGGGTCACCTCGCAACCACAAGAACGGTGTAACAGCAGTCATAGTGACCCTTCCCAAACACTCCTTGACGAGTGCAAGAGCTCATAGTATTGAGCTATTAAAGAGCTAGGTGTTTTATTAGTATTCATGTGCTTTCTGATGGCTTTCCCACAACAGATAGCGAGCACCAGTTCTGTGGAATCCATGCCAGGAACAGATGGTAGCAGCACATCTGGAGGGGTAAGCGATTGTGAGGAGGATGCCTCATTAAATCAAATGTTCAAATGTTTTGTTTTAATGAGAGGGGAGAGAGGGGGAGAGCAGGCCCGTTCCAGACATGGTCATGCATTAGCCTATATTCTCTATTCAAATTTTATTTACTTGAACTGTGCCTTTTCACTATTAGTGAAAATTACTCCTGACCTTTTCTAATGTAAATCTTTCAACACTTACCTCACTTCTGAAGTCCATATGCAGACTGAATTAGCTTCCTTTGAATACTGTTGGAAAAGAAATCATTGTCTTCTATTTACAAGCGAGTAGGACTCCTGAAGCCAGTACAAAATAAGCCATTGTTACTTGACATATATGTTTACTTAAGTCTGAGGTGAAGACTAGAAAGATAAGCTCGTCCGTTCTGTGTTTCACTAGAAGTCTTTGAATTATCAGCAGAAACGCTTTACTTTCGGCAGCTGGGAAAGGCACAGTAATTTCCCTCCTAATGATGGTTTTCAATGTAAGCACTGCAAATCGTGGCTCACATCCATAATATGCCACAGATGTCTTTTATTAGGAAACTAGAGTCTTAGGTCTGGTTCGGATGTTCACCAGTTAAGGTATCAGATGGTGCTTCTTACATGAAAAGCTGCCGCTCTAGGCTAAACTGCTTTAATTCAGCGTGCTGTACTTGGCATTCTTTATAATTAGGGCTTTCACCTGATGAAAGAAATTGTAGCCAATTAATCAGATGAGTTTCAGTCTAGTAAGATTGGTTGATTACATCTGTGTAAATTTGCATATGAATAGTAATGCTGGGGGGGGGACGACATACAGTGGTACCTCAGGTTAAGTACTTAATTCGTTCTGGAGGTCCGTTCTTAACCTGAAACTGTTCTTAACCTGAAGCACCACTTTAGCTAATGGGGCCTCCTGCTGCTGCCACGCTGCTGGAGCACGATTTCTGTTCTCATCCTGAAGCAAAGTTCTTAACCTGAAGCACTATTTCTGGGTTAGCGGAGTCTGTAACCTGAAGCGTATGTAACCCAAGGTACCACTGTATCCCTCTTGTTCTTCCGATGTCACACTCATATGTCCCAGCAGGCATCATCTTAGAAAAGGCATCCTTTGAGAGAGAGCAGGAGGTGGAGACCCCTTTCTGAGATAGTGCCTGTCACCTACAGTTTTTTGAAACACTTGCATTTAAACCACTTTCCATTTTAAAAATCTGCTGCCTGCTTAAATGAAGGGCACATTTTTTGTCACTCAAACGGTAATTAGGTATATTCACTGATTAAGTATTGCAGCCCTTCTTACAGTTTCAGTCACACCATAGTATTCTCAAGCTCAAAATGTCTTGTTGTAAACAAGCGTGCACTCCGGGGATTCATTCAGGCCATTTGACTAAGTTAAGCCCACTAATTTCAGTGGTCTACCCTGAGTGAAACTGAGTTAAATACCACCCATAATAAAGTGTGTGGGTTATCTGCAATGTGTGCTGCCAGAATGATTTCCTATGAGATTTTGAAGAAAGAGATCTTGTGGCTGAAATTGGGGGGGGGGGTCCCCTGCCAGAGTCCACAAGACCATTATGCTATGTAACTCAATGGAAGGGGTAGTCATTGTGGGTACCCTCCAGAACTCTGTCTCCTATTATCCTCAGTCAGCATGGCTAATGGGAGTTGTAGTCTAGCAACACCTGGAGACATAGTCCCCGGCCCTTCAGTAAACCCAACATGCTAGAAAATCTGCACTTGCTGTCCATCTACTACCAAACCAGGTTCTAGATCCTTGCATTACTTAACAGAGCCCTGAAAAACCTGGGTCCTGGATTGCCTAAACCCTTATAACCTAACTCAGTCATTGAGATCATCTGTAGAAGCATCATTGGTCGTTCCCCCAAGTTGGGGCGGTGATCATCTGACAACAAGAAACCGAGCCTTTAGTATTGTTGATCCAGTCCTGTGAAATGCTCTGCTAATAGAGCATCAGCAGGTGCCTTCTGTTTCAACCTTTAAACACCTGCTTAGAACTTCTCTATGCTACCCATATATATAAAAAAATTGGGCTGGGAAACAGCATATTCTGTTTGCCATCCAGCAATTTGAGATGCTGCGCAACTGCCTGGCATTTTCATAAAAGGCTTGGAGTACAACTGTAGGGATACGGCAACTTAATTTCTTGGTTGGGATTTGTTACAACTGCTCTAAATAGTCACAGCAATCCCAGCAGCTCTTGAATGGCAGCTGGTGGCGATGGTAAATCGCTGTTACATCTGATGTTTGCCAGGGCTTGGCTGCTTGCTCTGGTATGGGAGAGGAGGAAATGCATAAATGCCATGGGGAGCTTTTTGCCGTAGGGAATTCTTTGGATCTTGCTGTGAACAGTGGTTATGGTTACTTTTTATATTAATGTACAATAGTATTATAAGCGTCTATTAGGTTTTTTGAACTATAAAAAACATTAAAGAAGATAGCAGCTTTATATATTTTGCATTATGACATTTCTGTACTTAATCTCAATTGTGTTACCTATTTAAATCGTTGTTGTTGTTGTTTTAAAAAATAAATCTGTGTATTTTGCTTACAGTAGACATGCTACTTTTTAATAAAAAGCCAAATGGCTTCTCTGTTTAATAGGAATGCCACTTCAAGCTCGCACTAAAAGTTGAAATCAAGGTTCATATTTATACATTTGTGTGTGAATCTTTCTCCTAGCGTTTGAAAAGCACCTGTCAACGGCTAGCTGGATTGTGCCATCCAAGAGCTCCTGTGTTAAGCACAGCCTCTTTTCTCTCTCTTTAAGTCTTTATACAGCTGAACCACTTGGTGGTGGTGATAGGCAGCAAACTAGAAGCTGCCTTCTTTATTCTGTCCAGCTTCCTAAAGGAATGCTTAAGACATTGCGATATGGCCAGTATTAATTAAGAAAGCTATATCAGATAGTTAAAATTGTGGGGTACGGTATTCAAATGATGTAAAATACATTAGTAAATACTGCATAGTGGTTTTGCATCCCAAATACACAGAAGTTTCTGTTGCTTTTTTTTTATTTGCTGGTTGGTATTCCTTTCAGAATTCTCATTGAGGAATGACCATGTCTTCACTGCCATTTTTATATAGGTTGTGTTATTTACATCATACAGTCACTCTCTAAAATATAAATGGAAGTAAACTGCAAAGCATGTAGCATTACACGGAGTTGAGTAACTGAGCATTCCGTCAGTTTCACGCCCATTATTGTAAAATCGTGCCTGTTTGCCTGTTGAATGAGTTTCCATGCCGGCATGTAAATGCTGAAAGCAGAACACTAGGGATTCTGCTGTGCTGGAAAGGGGTCTATGGAACTCGCTCCCCCAGAAGGCCGTGATGCTCACCAGCTTGGAGACTCAGACGAATCCATGGAGGAGAGGGATATTGATGGCTACGCTCTGCTGTTGCAGTTGGAGGCAGCAATGCTTCTGAATACCTGTTGCTGGAAATCACAGGAGGAGAGAGGGCTCTTGTGCTCGGGTCCTGCTTGCTGGTTTCCCACAGGCACCTGTGGGAAATAAATTATTATTCTTTAGGGAAGTTTTTAATGTGTGACATTTTAATGTATTTTTAAATCTTTGTTGGGAGCCGCCCAGAGTGGCTGGGGAAACCCAGCCAGATGGGTGGGGTACAAATAATAATAAATTGTTGTTGTTGTTATCGTTATCTGGTTGGCCACTGTGGGTACTGGATGCAGGACCACAGGGGCCATTGACCTGATCAAGCAGGCTATTCTTATGTTGGAGAACCCCCTATTCTTGTAGAAAAGTAATGGGGCTGTGGGAATAAACTCTTAACCTACGCAGAACCCCAAAGTGCACTCAATGCAGGTTGCACATGTACAGTGCTACCTCAGGTTACATACACTTCAGGTTACATACGCTTCAGGTTACAGACTCCGCTAACCCAGAAATAGTGCTTCAGGTTAAGAACTTTGCTTCAGATGAGAACAGAAATCTTGCTGCGGCGGCACGGCGGCAGCAGAAGGCCCCATTAGCTAAAGTGGTGCTTCAGGTTAAGAACAGTTTCAGGTTAAGAAAGGACCTCCGGAACGAATTAAGTACTTAACCCGAGGTACCACTGTACCATTTCCTAAAGGCACCAGTGCACATCCACAAGGCAGGAGGATTCAGGGGAGGCAATAATCATATCCCAAGAGTTCCAAGGCACTGGGATCGATAACCCTTGCATCCTTTATTTTTCCACTTCCCTGAAGTTACCATGCAACAAGACTCTTTTTGGTGATGGATGGGAAGTGCTCCACCACCACCACTGAAATATCCTGGGGGGAGCTGAATTGGGTTCTGACGACATTGCCCAATTCCTTTCTGTCGGATCCTTTTGGTGGTTCAGGAGGGCTGAGACCCGTTCACTGCATACAGGGTTGTTGGGGAATGTAGGAGCTAGCAAGGCATTTCTTTCGCTCAGTGTTATTTGCAGGGCTCACTAATAGATGTTAAAAGGGACGCGGGTGGCACTGTGGGTTAAACCACAGAGCCTAGGGCTTGCCGATCAGAAGGTCAGCGGTTCGAATCCCCGCAACGGGGTGAGCTCCCGTTGCTCAGTCCCTGCTCCTGCCAACCTAGCAGTTCGAAAGCACGTCAAAGTGCAAGTAGATAAATAGGTACCACTCTGGCGGGAAGGTAAAGAGCATTTCCGTGCTCTGCTCTGGTTCGCCAGAAGGGGCTTAGTCATGCTGGCCACATGACCCAGAAGCTGTACGCCAGCTCCCTCGGCCAGTAAAGCGAGATGAGCGCCGCAACCCCAGAGTCGTCTGCAACTGGGCCTAATGGTCAGGGGTCCCTTTACCTAATAGATGTTGCACCTGATAAAGTACAGCTTGGTGGAAATCCCTAGCGCTAAGGCTGAGGCAAATCACAGGCCGCAGTGACAGCAAAGGTGCAAATTGGTGGTGGTGGTGTTGTAGTCTGAGCCGGTATGATCGGCAACACAATGCTAGCTTGGTGTGGAATGGCCCTTTAATTTATTTATTTCAAAAGCTTTTGTGTACACCTGAAATAAATGTCTTCGGTAGCTAATATTCCGGACACTTGTATTTGTTAGTTGCTATAGTAATTGAGAGCTTCTTTACATACTGAAGCAGCCTCTGAGTGTGTGGTTTGTAATGTGAGCAGAAAAGGCAGCGCGTGGAAGACTGTTAGCAAACCTATAACGCACTCCATAAAGTTTAATTACAGGCCATACCTCTACCTTTAAAAAACGATCTTTGTGCTCTTTGGGGCAAGAAATGAATGCTAATATAAATTAAACAACTTCTCTGAAATGAACCATATGCTTGGTCCTGAACTGGGTAGTATTGCAGTTGCTGCTTTGCTTATAGCGATGGGATTGAATGATTAAAATCTTTACTGCTCATGCATACGTACTTGGCAGACTAAGGTTCTTGGCTGCACATGCAGCCTAGCTGTTTCCACTTTGCTCCTTCCCAGTGAGAGCAGGTAAACAAACCAGGAAAGAAGGAATTCCTGAATGTTATGTCCAAATGCAGGATCGTAATTGGTTTCATCCTTACAGATTATGATTTATAGCCATTCTGAAACCATGACCAGTTGTTGGCTTTCCAATACAGTGGTACCTCGAGTTACATACACTTCAGGTTATATACGCTTCAGGTTACAGACTCCGCTAACCCAGAAATAGTACCTCGGGTTAAGAACTTTGCTTCAGGATGAGAACAGAAATCGTGTTCCGGTGGCAAGGCAGCAGCAGGAGGCCCCATTAGCTAAAGTGGTGCTTCAGGTTAAGTACAGTTTCAGGTTCAGTACGGACCTCCGGAACAAATTAAGTACTTAACCCAAGGTACCACTGTATGCTTGAAGTTCTCCTGATGTCTGCCTGTAACTGCCTGGGAAGGCCTGCATTCTTCCTTTTGAGTAGTTGTCTCAAATTCTTCAGACAAAGAAGTCTCGCTCAAAATATACATCCTTGCAGGTAGTTTGCTTGCATGTTGCTTGCACAGCAGGAAATACTTTCTGAGGGAGAAGGCAGCTCACATATCAGGAAGGGTAAAGAGACCTTGAGCATGCAAATAATAGACTTCTTAGAAAATCTATAATTCTTAACTAAACAGTGCTAGTTCAACCCTTGTTAGAGGCTTTTAAAATAGCTGGTCTAGCCATCATTCCAAATGTCTAGAGCTGTTTGGCTGTGAAAGTTGGCCCGTAACAACTGGCAAAATTTGAGTTAAGGTATATCTGGCACTCTAAATGCTAACCACGTGTGTTAAAATCACAACATTATACATACCAAACTTTAAAATAATAATGATAATACATTTGTGGGGCTCAAGCTGCCCTTCACTGGTTCAAAGTCACATTGTTTAACATTAAAATTTTATTTTTTCATCCCAGCCTGAGTGTTGCAGAAAATCCTCCAAATCAAAGAGAGAAAAGGAGAAGCAAGCTTGCAAAAGCTGCAGTGAAAGCTTCAACTCCATTACAAAAAGACGTCACCATTGCAAGCAATGTGGGGCAGTGAGTATTGGAGTGAAAATTACTGTTTATATGTATGTGCATTGTTACTCATTTGGAACAAGCTGGTTTTTCTTTATAAAATTCTGCAAAAAAAGAAAATAATAATAATATCATCTTCTCAAGTATTATACTGTCCTTCAGTTCCCAAGACTGTCTGCATAAGTAGACTGATTTACCCCTTTCCACGTTTTTATCTTCTGGTGTGCCATGCTCCTTAACAATGGGAAAATCAGGATCAAAAAGTATTTGGATAGAGCTCTTAGGACAAATTTCATACCATTTCTAAATAAGAAAAAAGTTTTTTTCTTTTTAAACACAGATACTTCGAATTAAATTCTATTGAAATCCAGTGAAACTTTAATCCAAGGTTTATTGATTTCATTGGAAAAGATTAGCAGAGACTAATTCAGGGGCAATGGTGATGGAAGGGAAAGAGTCATAGAGTCCGTGGATCTCATGAGACTTATGTGCCATCTCTTTAGGAAGAGTACTCTAGAGAATATTGCTAGGAAACTGATCTTACTAAATAGGAAACCCCCAACATGTTGAGTTAACTGGTGGCCAAAATTGTGGAAACCTTTTGGGAAAAGTGTATTTCCGAGGTTTGATGGCTCATAACACCTGATTGGCTCTCTAAACACTCATGGCTACATTCAAATGAAGGAAAACTACTACATGTCAACCTAAGCCAGTTGTGCTTCGTTTTTCTGGTTATTTGGCTATAGCTTTTGATAGAATACAGATAATTGAACAAACTTTGTTGCATTACATTCTTCATTAAATTATCTTGCCACTGATATATAATTTTATGGTATTGCTCCCCAAAAAAGTGGTGTTATGAGCCATCAAACCTCAGAAATACACTTTTTCCAAAAGACCATGCCACTAGTGTACATTGCATGGTCTTCCTCCCAGATATAAGCCAGCTAAATGCGTTTCTAATTACCAACAACTGCAGCTAAAAGATGGTAGATTTGCCTTTCTCTTTTGTTAATCAAAACTCACTGAGGCAATTTGTTAGCCTATACCAAGGGCGAGGAGCCTAATCTGTTTTTGGGCCTTGGAACTCTCCTATGGCCATTCCTCCTACACAGGCCACACCCCTCGTTGCTCACCCTGCTCACTTGGCCCCCTTGGATGCTTTTCCCTGGCTGGACTGGGTCCCTAAACAGCAATGATGCCTCTTGCTTGTCTGGATGGAGAGCAGAGATGTGTATGTGTAGATAGAAACATCTGATATCTGCATGTAGCCAGCTGTACAAAGGCAGGAGTCACACCCAGTGCTCCACCTTTTCTCTCTCTGCCCCTGCCCATCACTGACATGGCTCCCAGAATATTCTCCACCCCTGGCATATTCCCCTCTAATGAATGACATCCTGCATTTTTCCCTGAAGATTCTCCAGAAAATTCACAAGGTCTGATGAGGTTTGATTTTCAAGCACATATATAGGCTGAATATATAGAGACTTTTATGACCTGGGGAAGAAACCCCCTTATTGCCAGTATCCACATATATATTTTTTACAAGGTAAAGTGTTATTCAGCTGATATGCCAGATTCCTATCCAAAATCATATTTAGACTTGATTTCAGCCTTTCGCCTTCACTCATTTAAAAATACTGTACTAACTTCAATTCATTCTAGACGTTCTGATTGATAAGAGAACATGCTTTGGGAAAGTTTAGCTCCACCCTTGTTATAGGAGTCAAATAGGGTATGATGAGCTTTCACAAATAATATACGTATCACATTTTTCATGCATTCTATGCTTTAAAATTATTGAGGTATAATCTTGCCCTGCATCCTGCAGCCATATGCTAGGTCAGTGCATTAATTGTAATCTTCTGTTTTATCAAGCATTCTGTTTTGGATCTAGCTGCAAGCCTGCTTTCCAGACATGAAAGGCCATTACCTAAAAAGATGCTTTCAGTTAATGCCTTACCAGTATGAGAGTCAGTTAAGTGTGTCAAGACGTACTGTCTTGTGTATTATCAGTGCTCCAGTCACTCACGGTCCTGCACAAAATAGACTGCTGTTACTGCATCTAAAATAGCAGTATCAGAATGGTTGGTACAACTGTCATCGTGTCTCTACAGCAATAATAGTTCTAAAAAACCCACAACAGAAATATCTCTCTGGGGTGCTTCCTGTTCCTTGCTGCTGCTCCTGTTTCAAGTAATGTTCGGAAGAATCCTGTGAAAAAGCAGCTCGTTATTCACCCATCAATTTGCTGGTGTAAATTCTTATGTCGAAGTACCTTCTCTCTCACGGTTTCCTGCATTGTTGAATTTTTGTTGCTTTGAAAAGAATGATTTGTTAAATTGTTGCTCTGCTGTTTGGAAAAATTTCCAACAAATAAATATTGATGCCCTTACTTGTTCAAGTTCAACGTGGCCAAAATGATTGAAGTGCTGAATTTCCACCTCTTCCTTGCACGATGCAGAACTTTAGCTGGTATAAACAAGATGTCATGTTTATGAAGCACCAATTGGTATGCTTTCATTAATGGGGTTCTTATAAATTTATATTTAGATGGGCTTCTAGGAAACCTGATAAAATTTTAATCCAGTGTAACTGAAAATGCTTTTTAGAACACTGAACAGGAAGGCAAACCCGTATAGGGTGGCCTTGTTACCCCCCCCCCCCATTGTAGGTAGAGTTTTAACAAATAGCATGGAATAGCAAAATCATTCTCTAGTGCCAAGCAGGTGGGAAGTAATCATAACTTGGACATAATACCTGAAATTCCTGTGTTATTATCACTCAAGATCATTCCTTTTGGGAACAGGAACCAAAGTGGTTCTAATTATAAATCAGTTGGTTTTTTTTTGTTTCCGATAATGACTTAAGAATAAAGTCCTGTGCTTTTTCATCCAGGTTATCTGTGCAAAATGCTCTGAATTTAAAACACTTGCTGACAACAGCCGCCACAACCGAGTGTGTAAAGAATGTTTTCAACTGCCGTCAGCAACTCTGTGTGTCTTGGGCAATGAAGGTGCAGGAGAACAAAAGAAAAAAATGGCAACGGAGGTATCTTTTGTCATATTAACACCTAAAACGACTAGTTACTCAGCAGAAGCATACTTTTCATTGTTAAAATCATTTCATGGTCTTGCCTCACAATACTTAAACATTCAGAAATCCATCATTTATTACATAGACCTACTAGAGGGCCAGTTTCATGGTTGCTGCTGCATTATGTCTTTTCAGTCCTTTCAATTTTATTTTATATGCACCTTTTTCTCTCCCTGCACAGAAGCCACCCCCATGCACATAATTTTCAGCCATTGGTGCTTTCAGCATGAACAGGGGGGTTGCACATTATGGAATGAAGCCCAATTCTCAGGAGCAGAGCTGTAGATGTATAATGAAATTGTTTTATGTTAGAGCAATTACGTACTGACACTTGTACATTAGAGAATTCTGCCTTCTGAAATCTTCATTTCCTTTAAAATGTGGATTGTGTGGATATCTGATAGTAACAAAAAAAAAGGCAATAGCAGCTGCTATATTGAGAATTGGTTTGGCACAGCAGACGAAGTGTTGCGTTAGGATGTGGAACTTGAAGATTTAGATCCAAGCTAAGCAGTTAAACCAGTGCCAAGGCTTGTTCTGTGTGTGGCGGTTGCCCTTTCACTTTTAGCTGTATGGCCATACACAGGGAGGGATGTGTGTCAGCATGCATCAAGGATAAGGACTGTAAACGCTAAGCATGCAAGTCATTGATAATATAAAGTTGTGCGGCAAAAGTTTAGAATAAATTATCAGTGCAAGGAGGTACACAAGGTTTTAATAGATGCATGGAACGTAAACCTGATGAGTGCACCAGCTACACTGATTATATAATTTGTAGTGCTTCTTCTTCTTCTCCCTCCAGAATTAAAGCTGTGGCTGTCTATTAGGTTTTTTCTGTTCTGTTGTTCTGTTCTATTGTAGTTCTTTTATATACTGTGGAGTCCCTGAGATGGTTGGCTGGCACGTTGTATGCCTCCTTCCAGCAACTCCTGCGGCTAAGCTGGTGCCAAAAATATTGCTCTGTTTTACTTTGGACCACATCAGCAAGGCTGAGAGAGGGGGCTTGTCGTCTGGGCAGCTCAGGACTTCCATACACACTGCCCAGGCTTGCACCCAGTGGGAGGGGCTCACTTCAGTGCTGCTAACACAGGTGCTTGACTTCACCCCAGAGGTGCCTTGTGTTCTCTAACCATCATCATCATCATCATCATCATCATAATTTATTATTTATACCCAGCCATCTGGCTGGGTTTCCCCAGCCACTCTGCGTGGCTTCCAACAAAACATTAAAATACAGTAGTCCATCAAACATTAAAAGCTTCCCTAAACAGGAATCTGCCTTCAGATGTCTTCTAAAAGTCTGGTAGTTGTCATTCTCGGCATTCCAAATGGCGGACGCCACTACCGAGAAGGCCCTCTGCCTGGTTCCCTGTAACTTGGCTTCTCGCAGTGAGGGAACCGCCAGAAGGCCCTCGGCGCTGGACCTCAGTGTCCGGGTAGAACGATGGGGGTGGAGACACTCCTTCAGGTATACTGGACCGAGGCCATTTAGGGCTAGGGCTTACCGATCAGAAGGTCGGCAGTTCGAATCCCTGCAACAGGGTGAGCGCCTGTCACTCAGTCCCTGCTCCTGCAAACCTAGCAGTTCGAAAGCATGTCAAAGTGCAAATTGATAAATAGGTACTGCTCTGGCAAGAAGGTAAACGGCATTTCCGTGCGCTGCTCTGGTTCGCCAAAAGCGGCTTAGTCATGCTGGTCACATGACCCGGAAGCTGTACGCCGGCTCCCTCAGCCAGTAAAGCGGGATGAGCACCGCAACCCCAGAGTCATCTGCGACTGGACCTAACGGTCATGGGTCCCTTTACCTTTTAACAACACTTTGAATTGTGCCCAGAAATGTACTGGGACCCAATGTAGGTCTTTCAAGACCGGTGTTATGTGGTCTCAGCGGCCGCTCCCAGTCACCAGTCTAGCTGCCGCATTCTGGATTAGTTGTAGTTTCTGGGTCACCTTCAAAGGTAGCCCCACATAGAGCTCATTGCAGTAGTCCAAGTGAGAGATAACCTTATATTGACTACTACTGACTTATATTTGCCTCTCTCCAAACTCTGCTGTTAGGAATCCCCATCCATAGCTTTCACTGCAGATCAGACCTCCCTTTGCTTCTATCAAATGACTTAACCTGCCATGGAGAAAGAATAAAAGTCTTGGCAATCCACCAGCCAAAAGCAACCTGGCATGGAGGGAAGACCCACTGCCCCACCCTCCCAGCAGCAGCATCACTTCTGCTTATTGGAATTGCCTGGGGGTTAGGGTTAGGGTACAGAGAATATATGGACCCACCAAATGGCTTGAATTACCTTTCTTACTCTTCTACTTGGAAATATGCTCCTCGTAACACTATAAGCAGTTCCTTGTACTGCAGACGAAAGCTGTTGCAGAGGAACTGTAATGGGGGAATCGTTGCCCCAAATCCAAGTTTTTGGATAATCCTAAAAGCCATGCAACTGCTTAAAATACAGTACAGTGAAATATGACCTGCTCTCTCAAGTAGGGCAGCATACTGTTCACATTCAGGAGAAAGGAAGCTCATCTCCTTAATAGGGTTAGGCATTTAGCTCTGTGCTAAGTCTTAGAGATTCAGGTAAAACACACAAGGGAATAGCACAGAATGCAGCCTAATCTGGGCTGCTGCCTTGTACTATGAAGTAACGGATGGACGTCTTTGGGTTACATCCAAGGAAATGCTCCTAGGATTAGGGGTTCAAGTGTTTTCCCCGAATTAATATTTCATGAACTCAGTGGCTCTTCAAGGATTTGCCTTTTTTCCTGATCTATTAGCAGATGTGTAGTTTCTCTGGAGATTTGTTATACAAAACATAATAGGTACAGTGTTTCCATCCCTAGAGGCTCTTCTGCTTTTTTGATATGTGGTTCTGGGCAAATTATTGATTTAATTCACCACCACCACCACCATTTGCATATCACAGAATAGGATTTTCTTTTTTCTAAAGACTCCAGTGAAGTCAGTGGCAGGACACCAAACCCTCTTGCCATTTGCAGTTTGCAGAACATAACGTCGCTATTATTTCTGATGGTTTTTCTTCAGAGGTATTTTTCCATCTCAAGTGTGCTCATTCAGCCCACCCTTGTTTCCTGCCTGTTCACATAACCAATGCAAGGATTTGTAGACTGTAAATTTCACACAGGAGATGCCACAGTTTAAGCTTTAAAAAAAAAAAGAAAGTACATCTTACTAAGGGGAGCAGAGTATATCCAACTCCTCACAGTTCTGTTTGCATGCCAAGGTGCAAATTGAGAGTTGTCAGCACCTGACACTCAGGCAAATGCTGCTATTAGGTGATGCAGTCTCACAAAGACCATCCCTGTGCAAGACCTATTGAAACGAAGTTGTGTCCTTGCATTTTGTCATGATGGTCTCATACACACACACACACACACACACACACACACACACACAAATTAATTAATTAATTAAATTTTCTGTTTTACAGTTTAGAATGTTCATTTAAACAACCTTAAAATAACAAAACTTCCCTTCTTCTCTTTCCATGGTTCATTTTGCATAACATAAATCTCTGCATATTAACTAAACCATTCAGTATTCCATTATTAAAGGTAAAGGACACCTGACAGTTAAGTCCAGTCGCGAACAACTCTGGGATTGCGGCGCTCATCTCGCTTTACTGGCCGAGGGAGCCGACGTTTGTCCACAGACTGTTTTTCCAGGTCATGTGGTCAGCATGACTCAGCCGCTTCTGGCAAACCAGAGAAGCGCACAGAAACACCATTTACCTTCCCGCCGGAGCGGTACCTATTCATCTACTTTTTCCAAAATGTTTTTCCAAAACATTTTCCCAAAAAACCCAGAGTCCTTTCTGTTGGGGATAATTCAGACTGAAATTCCCATGTGTCAAAAAAAGGTTATTTATGCAGGCCGTGTTTTGTTAGGCCCAAAATGGCAAACAAGCGAGGTCCCAACTAAAGAAGAATGGGAACTTAAACTAATGGAATATGCGCAGCTTGCGGACCTAATATACAGAATAAGAGAACAAGAATAAAATACGTTTAAAGAAGATTGGAAAATGTTTATTGAATATATTGGAGGAAATTGTGTACACTTGAAAACCCTGGCAGCATTAAGATAAATTCAACAGTGTAAATAAGTTTTGATGGAATCAGGATGCGGGTGGCGCTGTGGTCTAAACCACTGAGCCTAGGGCTTGCCGATCAGAAGGTCGGCAGTTCGAATCCTCGAGATAGGGTGAGCTTGGTCCCTCCTCCTGCCAACCTAGCAGTTCGAAAGCACGTCAAAGTTCAAGTAGATGAATAGGTACCGCTCCGGCACCTATTTTTTGACACATGGGAATTTCAGTCTGAATTATCCCCAACAGAAAGGACTCTGGGTTTTTTTGGAAAATGTTTTTAAACATTTTTTTCTCAATTCATTATAAATTATTTCCCAATACTGTTTTACCCTTTTACACGACCATGGTCTTAACAATACTAGGTTTTGTTTGCTCACAAATTAATGAAAGTCATATATTATGGAGAGAGGAGACGTATGGAAATCCCAGCATTACAGACTTCAAAGATGTCTGGCATCTCTGAAACAGCAGGGTTATGCTCTTCCTAGCAGCAATCCTATGAATACTTGCCTGGAAGGAAGTCCCACTGAACACTATGAGTCTTACTTCTTAATAAATATACATTGGATTTAGCTGTTCTCACAGATTTGGAGTGGATTTTTAAAAAAAAAAATCCCCTCCCTAAATAATAATTTTAAAACCCTGGAGATTTTATTTATCCTTGCAGCAGCACTGCGCTGTGACTCTATTCACTTGTGCTGAAGCAGCTTCCTAATTAATTTTCATTCTCCTTCCAACCTACTTTACGTATGAAAGTAGCTGTATCATCTTAATTGCTGTTCTCAACTTTGACTGTGGAGGTGGGGTTTTCAGCTTAACGTTCTCTAAAAACAGTTCAGCACCTACGTGCGAGTCTTTTAATCCTGGTTATATGTAATGATGATTAAACCTCTGTATGCTTAAGGATTAATACCTTGGTAATCACACTTCTGCTCCCATGGACCATTCATGAACAAATATTTGAACATAAACCAATAAACCATCAAGGTGCATAATAAATTGTAAATGCCTTCAGCACAAGTGCATGAATAAACACTGCTTGGTTTATTTGTTATATATAGAAGCAAAGCGTTTTGGGAGCAGAAAGCAGCCTTTTCAGCAGTCACCTCCTGTTCCAAGAAAAAGGAAAGACTTGGTGTAAAGTTTGGGTCACCATCCCTAAGGCTGAACCTCTCGTCTTATATCTACAAGGAGGCAGTCAGGTAAAAAGCAGAGCATCTTACATAGCTGTTAAAAATATATATTAAACAAGTCATACTGAGAAATGGTCTGGAACAGTTATTCCTAAGCTATGTGCCAGGGCTTGTGAGCATGCTGTGTGAGAACCGTACAGGTTCAGGAAACTAATGGATTAATTTGTAGGTTTTTGTGCATCCACTGTACATCCCACTGAGGCTGCCTGCCACGGCTGATCCAGTACTCTGCCCTTTTCCTTTCTTCAGTCAGCTTCCTCTGGGGAGAATTAGCTGCCCTCTAGGGAGGCAGCTCATTGCACCTTTTACTGTAAGTGCAGATAACTCTTACACTTCTTCAGCAGAGCAAGTACCCCCAATTTTAATTTGCAGGGGAAAGTGTGCTCTGAGATCAAATGATTTGGCTAGAAGGATTTAGCTTCCTTTCAACAACCGAATGTCTTGCAGGCATTCAGAGAAAGCATTCTCGTCTTTTGAAAATGATAAATGAACTTCTTGCTTTCATCAAAAAGGTGTACAACTATGATAATTATTTATCCCGCCCCCACCCCCGTTTTTAAGAGATGCATTTCCCCCCACCAAAAAATGAAGATCTCAAAGGGTTTATTGAGCTTTGAAAAGCATTCATCCTCCCCAAAGATAAAAATCACAAGGCAGAGGCAGTAAGACTGCATGCCTTTAAATCTTCATTTGATTTATGAAGCTCAGCGTTCTGACAGTAGTAGATCTGTGCACTTGCAGAAGTGCTGAGAATGTGTTTTGATAATGCATGAAACAAGTAGATTTCCTCAGCTCGGGCATACTTACAACTAAATCAAATTCACCAGATACATACAGGATTAATACAGTAATAGAAGCAATCTTCAGATCTCTCCCTGGCGTTTATACTGGGATGATAAAGAGGAGCAATATGTTGACTGACAGAATATGTAGAAAAATTGCTTTCCTATCCCAATTGGGTTGAAAATCACTATGTGTGCAGTGTCAACATATGCACATCAACAGTAGCCCCAGGAGCCAGTGAGAGCGAATAGTAGTAATTTGCGAATATTGTTATGAAAAAAAGAATCAGAGTGGATGCCTTAAAAAGCCCAGCAGCTTGGTGCATCTCTGTGCACGAATGCTCCCTGGGGCAAAGTGGTGGTGGTTCTTCTCCAGTTATCATTCCTGCATTCCCACATGGATTTGTGAGGCAACTGCAGGGCACGTCAGCTAATCCAGTCTTAACAGTAGCTGCTCTTGTAATAAAGTGAAGAGAATGTTGCTTTCTTTGAAATATGCCTCTTTGCAGAATGCTGGTGGAATGTGCGCGTAGAATCACTAGAGAGGTTGTTATTGAGAGAAGGCAATCTGGGCCTCATAACTCTTGAATCCAAACTTTGTAACATTTGTTGTGGTTTTCTTTTAAAAACCCCTCAAGGCAAAACAAATACACGAGTCAACTATTTTTGTGTTTGTTTAGTTCTGTTAAAAAACAAAATGAAAACCATGAACTAGATTCTAGATTCTCCCCCCCCCCTTTTCTAAAAACCCAAGGCAGTTTACAAGTTAATACTGTTCAAGACCAAGGAGTGCAAAGAGGCCACTGCATAGTGAAGTCTATAGAGACCACTTGCCACCACAACTGTAGGTGGTTCAGTGATTAGGGGCAGGCAAGGCATCATTCTGAATGCAGACTGCGATGATCTGTGGAATTTCACAAGGAAAAATCACTGATGTCTGAGAACATGGGGAGGGAGGCATCCCCTCAGGGCAGCTCTTCAACATCCCAGGAGGTTTCTGCAAAGAGGAAGATTCCTCACAGCTGTTCTTGATACAGTTTGGGGAGAGTCTCTTCCTTGACCTCTGTGTCACTAGCATTCCAGGGCTTTTTGGTTTCAGAACCATCCCACCCTGGTCTACAACACAATAATTCAGTCGTCATGATAAGATGACCCTCACTAATAATTTCTTTAAAATACATCCTGATAAATGCATGTGTTTTATACAATGTTTTATCTTCAAGTACTACTCATTCCTAGAAAAATTGGGAAATAATGGCTATCCTCTTGAATTTTTTTCACCAGTTTACCTGTCACCTGCTTTCTTTTTATTTCCAGCCAGTTTTTGGTTTTGACTCCTGCTTTTCTTTTGTGTGTGTTTAGGATGGACGGATTCCACGAAGCATACCCCTACCAGGATATGAAGTTGAATTTCCGCATTCTGGTGAGAAGTTTGACTCAAAACATGTTTTCAAACTCTGCCAGTCCCAACAGACTATGTATTTCAGTGCAGACGATGAAGAGTTGCAAATAAAATGGATGGATATTCTCACCAAAGCAGCTAAAGGGGAGATTTATGATCCAAGTGAAGGAGCCAGTGAGCCCTAAAGCCTTTTTCTGTGGTCCAAGATATATTTCGGGAGCAGGGGGCTGAACTCAATAATCATGGCACTTTCAAAATCTGTATGGTTTTCCTCCCACCCCCTCTTATTATTGTACATTCATTACATACAGTACCGATTGTCTGGCATATATGTTAGATGGGAAAAGTAAGTGTAGTAATTAATGGTGTTCTTGTTGACATTGATGGAAAAGAAAAGGAGCAAGCATTAATTTTATTGAAAGTAACTGCGAAAAAAAATCATAATTCAAGTTAGCCATCTTCAAACACCTAAAGGGCTGTCACATGGAAGATGGAGCAAGCTTGTTTTCTCCTGCTCTGGAAGGTAGGACCCGAACCAATGGCTTCAAGTTACAAGAAAGGAGATTCCGTCTAAACATCAGGAAGAACTTTCTGACAGCAAGAGCTGTTTGACAGTGAAGCAGACTCCCACGAGACGTGGTGGACTCTCCTTCCTTGGAGGTTTTTAAGCAGAGGTTGATGTATGATCTCGTTGTGATTCCTGCATTCCAGGGGGTTGGACTAGATGACGCTTGGGATCCCTTCCAGCTCTACAGTTCTTTGATTCTCTTACTCCACTCCCTCACCCTGTATTTTTGTTCCTTTCAATTGCTGTTTGAGTGAAGGATATGTATAGTTCGTGTGTTACAAAAGTGCTGCCTTTAAGTTAAATGTTGTACAAGGCTTGTGGCTGGCCACTGACATGCTGTTTTCTGTCTTCTGTTTTGGGATTTTTTTAAAAAAAATAATGGTCTCCTCTGTGCTGTAAGAACAACGTGATGGATCTGTTTCTTTTGGTAACTCTGTCCTTTCTTACAATGACTTTTTTCACTAGACAGATACTGTAGAATACGTTTGTAGAGTTTTCTGAAAGGCATTGTGGAAGACACCTTGAAATCTCAAATATCAAGTATTCCTATATATATATATATAAAAATATAAATATTTTTGTTTTTGTTTTTTACTTTTACCCACACTTTTCTTATTTCTTTATACAACCTCCTTTTTAATGTATGCAATCAAATGTTTTACACTGCAAACTGGGATGTTCCCAATAAATGGACAGTTTTAGTACACCCAGTAAAGGTGACCTTTTTTAGGACGATTAACTTTTTTGAGTAATCAAGGATTTATTTATATAATTTGTAAATACCACATGTTAAGCTTCTTCTCTTCTTTTTTTTACAAAAGTGATCTAACTGAAACTTAGTCTGTCAGTTAAGACACTTGTATAAATTGAATTTGTAATTTGTTTCCTGTGTACTTTTGTTTGCAAAAATATTTATGTATGCAAATAAAAACCCATGCCATTGATTCCTGAGCCAGGTACTCAACGTAGAAATTTTAGGTGGGTATCACCCAAGAGGTAAAACCAGCGTTCTTGGATTCAGTCACTTGCGTCACGTGGCTCTTCTGGTCCGTGAATCCTCTGGTTTCCCCCTCATCATGGCTTCCATGACCATGTCCTATGCAGCTTGCCACACCTCTCCATTCCAATGTTCTCAGTATGCAGGCCAGGACTTAATCGTGCAGCCCGTGGGCTCCTTTTGCAACACAATACCATAAGAGAATGAGACCACACGCCCTTTCTACCAACCAGACAGAAGTAAAAGAAAGGAAGCAGCATGTTGAGGCACTACAGGAAAAGTGGAGCTAGGGCACTTGTCTGAGTAGGTGAGGAATTGCTGCTGGAGGCGATGTGTTGATCAGCCTTTGATTCTTCTCTGCCCTCATTCCTCCTCCTCAGTAGCTACTACAAACCTGGTCGCAAGCCAGACTCGTCCCATCAGCCACCTGGGTTAAATGAACGGGGCATGACAGGGAGGGAGGTGGCAGGTGTGGGACTCCCATCAATCCTAGTTAACTGAAGAACATAAGTAGCGCACATAGCCATGGCTGTATGAAAAAGCAAAGCAGCTTGCACAGATACAATTTAAATTTATTTTTTAAAGGGGGAATCCTGGTGCAAGGGATTGCTTTGGCTAAATGGATTAAAAGTGCTCTCCCTTCCTGCAGTGCCCAAGACCAGGAAGTGGACCATGGCAGAAGTGGTGGGAAGGAACGGGTTCCTTTCTCAGTTGCTGAGGAGTGTTGGGCTGGCTGTTGGTGGAGTCAAAGCTTTTTGTCAATGTAAACAACATCTAGAATGAGCTAGACCAAAGCATTGTTTAACCGCGTGCACTCTTGTTGCTGCGTGGGATCTTTTAAACGTTTTGTTCCCTTCATAAGGCCGTTAGGGCTAGTCTTCCTAATCAGATCCATCCACCCCATAGGAATTCATAGAAGAAATAGATTTGGAAATTCGTTGCTTTTGACAAGTAGATCGAAATATTCATTTTAAAATGTCTCCTCATGCTTCCTGCTGAAATGATGCAATCTAACAGTAGCTGAGCTTGGTATTAAAAGGGAAAACAGGATAGGAGGGGGATATACGCATGATGAGCAAGGGAGATAGCTGCCAATTGCTTATACACGGGAGAAGATTCTTGTGAGCATATAACAGTGGGCTTATCTCATCTGAAACGCAATATGGTAAGGAGCAACAGACTAAGAAAGTGAGTAAAACAGTTCTACAATTAGCATTGTCAAACAAAGCAGTGACTCCAGTTTATGAAACAGGATTGGTCCATCTACCTCACTAATGTCTACACTGGCTTGCAGGGGCAATCTGGGGTTTCAGACCAGGGCCTTTCTCAGCCCTCCCTTGAGATATCAAGAAGGAGTTGAAGTTTCCAGCATTTTTTATAACCTGAGATAGGAGGCAAAATGTACAGACACCATTGTTTTCATTTTTGGGTGAGAAATTATCTCGTGCCACTCTTTCACTGTTATACGTACTTGCCTGCCCCTTTGAAACATCCACACACACCCCTTGAAAGAAAAATACGGATGATGCCCATGTGTATGAGAGTGAGAGACACACTTGGAGGACAGTGGCAGGTGTGTGAGAAAGGGTATGTGTGCTTGTATATGTGCATGCTCTACAAAGGTGAGATGTGAGTGGAAGGGGAAGGGATATGCATGAATGTATGGCCTGCAAGGCAGGGAGAGGTGCCTATGTGAAGGGGGGGTGTGAGTTTGTGTGAGAGAAGCATGTGCATCTGTGATCTGTATGTCTGGTGATTGCACATGCGCAAGAGGGTGATGTCAGTGTGGTGTAGTGATTAAGAGCAGTGAACTGGGTTCTGGTGAACTGGGTTCGCTTCCCTGCTCCTCCACATGCGGTTGCTGGGTGACCTTGGGCCAGTCACACTTCTTTGAAGTCTCTCAGCCCCACTCACCTCACAGAGTGTTTGTTGTGGGGGAGGAAGGGAAAGGAGAATGTTAGCCGCTCTGAGACTCCTTCGGGTGGTGATAAAGCGGGATATCAAATCCAAACTCCTCTTCTTCTGTCACCTTATGCATATTTTATATATTTTTTCTTGTTACTGGGAAGGCTCCCTGTTTTCCTTAGGCGGCAAGAGCACTCTGTGGGGGGAGAGGGGGGAGAGAGAGAAATCCCACAATTGGGACCAGCAGGACATAGCTTACTTCCCAGAGTAAGCCTTAGGTTGTCCAAGGAGAGGGGCAATAAATGTTGTCTTTCTAATTTTGTGACATGCCATGGCTCCATAGCCATTTTGTAAGTAGTGCCCACAGCAGGTCATGTATCCACAGCAGTGACCAGAAGAGGAATGGCCACTAGGAGAAGCACACCATGGTTTCTGCAGCAGCAAATCAAATACCCCTTCACCTGCCCCACCTGCAATAAAACATTTTTCTCCTGGATCGGTCTCTGCAGACACAGCAGGCTCAGTCATTCTCCAACAGTTTGTCCTTACCCCTGAAGACACACACTTCCATTGTCTCCTGAGGCAGATGGACGCCGCTGCCGCCACCAACAACTTTCTCAAAATATAAAATGAGCCTATTGGTCCAAGAAAGACAGGTTTCAGACAGTTACAGCGTCTACTGCTATCTGCCTCCTTGAGTAGACAAAGTATGTTTTTATGTGCATCACTCTATAAAAAAGGCTCACAATCCGATGACAGACTTTTCTTTTTGGTTTGTCTTCTCACAGACATGTTTCTCCCGATCTGGGTTGCAAACAGCTATTGAAACAGACTACTTTTTCTGTAGTCATGTACAGAACAGATAAGGCAAGCCTCTCCCCATGGGGAAAGGAAGCCAGAGCTGTTCTTGTATTCCCACCACTGCCAGAAAGATTCCTAGTTCAGTTAGTCATCTGAAGCCCAGAATCAAATCCATGTTTGGTTTCCGAAGCTTCCTTCTTAGCCTTGGGGCAAGCTGCAGTTTCTCTTCCGAAAGTGCCGTGGTTCTGTGGCTAACACAGTGCTATGAGTTTCTGGGAGGAAGAATGGGGGTGGCCAGGGAAGAACTGCAGACTTATAAATAACAAATAAGGCATCTGCTGAAGGGCAGACCTACATGCGCTCAGACTAAGCAAGAAAGGAAAGTTACCGGTAACTTACAGGTAAAGTAGCTGTGAAACATGATTATTTTAGAATATAAAAAATAGAAGAGTCAATGGGGAAACAAGGGAGAGAGGCAGAAATGTGAGTAGATGCTATTACACTTACTAAATGATTGTAGCTGGGAAGAGGAGAAGCCAAAGGCTAGCATGAGGAATAGTTTTAAGATGACTGTCTAACAGCAGTCCACATCTAAATATCAAAATATGGTAAACAATATTAGAGGTCTTCAATTGTAGATTCTAAATGCATCATCTCCTAAGGTCTCTTTAAACTGGATAGTGTTAGTCATGTTAAACTCCTGTGACAAATTCCCTTTCCATTCTTGGCCTTGACTTTCCTGCACTAGTTTATTACAGTGAAGTTACATGGATGTAACTTTCCTGACTTTTCCATATATTCTTTCATACATCTATAGTGCTTATCTAGCATCCACAGGGTCTGACCAGATGCCTGTGGGATGCCCACGAGAAGGACCAGGGCAGCAATAGCCCTGTCCCGCTGTCGTTCCTTCTGCCTTCATTCCTTTCACTGTGTACAGTACGTGTAGTCCTAAATATTTGCTTACATGCAGTGGCTGGGATCCAGCAAGCTACTTTAGCATGCCCAGTGAGATATTGACTTTTCTTTAGAGGGCAAATCCACAATTCCACATTGTAAGCTGCTTTTGAAAGCCCGCTTAGGAGCATTTGTACCATCTTGGGAACATTTATTTATTATTATGTTTTATTATCCTTTTCAGTCAAATAAGAGTTCCAGAGCAGTCAGCAATCTGGTGGCAAAATGATGCCAGGCTGCCTGGAAGACTGCATGCCATAGCCATCCAGGGATGTGCGTCTTTCAGAGTTGCGCTCCCGCACAAGTTGCATGACTCACATGAGAGCACCCCCCCCCAAAAAAATGTTTCGGGGCCATGCTTTCGCAGGAGCCAGATGGCTCATGCAAGAGCATAGCCCCTCAAAATGGGTGTCTTTTGGGGCCACACTCTTGCAGGAGCCAAAACGGGACATCCTGGGATCCAATCAGAAGCCAGGATGACCTCTGTAATTCCAGGATGTCCCACTGAAATAGGAACAGTTGATGGGTATGTGATGAACTTTTGATTCAGTCTGTTTTTATCATGGTCTGGCATGCAAGGGCTAAAAGTCTGGATGTGTTGTGCTAAAGGGAACAGAAGATGAAAGGGATACTGGCAGAGGATTGGGGGAGAATAAAAGATAGCATTAGTTTTTTCTTAAAGCAGATCTGACTATTGACCAGATTCCAATGAACCATACAGCTAGCCGATTCAAAATACAGTGGCACAATTGCTAACTAGGACTGGCCGATCAAAAGGAATAACCCTTGTCAGTCCTGAAATGATAGTGAGGCATATTGGAGGGTATGCCATCAATTTTGATTTTCATATCCCAAGTAGAGCTTTCTGGGAACCAAAGTATATTTTTAAAAGATGTGTGAATTATTGAGAATGTTCCCTCCTTCCACTCCTCTCCCCGTTGCCATTATTTGTTCTCTCTGCACCTGCAGTAGAAAAAAAATCCTTAGGGTTTCTTTCTTATCCAAAAAGTCATTTCAGCTCTTCCCCAGTCTGCATTTTCCTCATGACATGCAGTGGATGGAAATTGTGTGTGTACTTATATGGATTCATAACTGGGGCTTGTAAATAGGTGAACCCATTAGTGCCTCCCTCTCTGCCTGTTGCTTTTACAGATCATGAAAGAAGTGGATTTTACGCTGATTTTGTGACTTTTGCTTCATATCTTTTTCTTTCGAAAAAGAAAAAAAAGAACATTTTAAATCCAGCAGTGCATGTTTCTGTT